AAGTAACCGATTATTACCAACCGGCTGAAATTATTGTGACTAGTATGATCACAAACAGAAACTAATAGACTACCATCACAGATTTTTCATCTATGATGTCGGCGGTGAAAGTTGATGAAGTATGATGTATCCGTATCGATATTTAACGGTCTACTGTGACTAATGAGACACTAGAGGTTTCCTTCATATCTTAATATTTGTCAGTCTTTCCAAAATCAACCCCGAAATTTTCAGTATCAAGTTGTGCTTTTCTGAATGTTTGTCTAGCAAAAGGGTGAATAGACATGTGGTCGCTTCTGGTGCCCAATTCTTAACGTAAGCTATCGGAGTTACTAGTCAATCCACAATTGAGTAAAGCTAAATAGCGGTAGCTTAACTTATTCAGTCTTAACAAACGACCATCTTACATGTCATTCAATTTGCACTATTATTTCTAACTTAGCATATGGATGGAAATGTATATATTTAACTACAATGGTGGCTACCAGATTCGAATTTATTAGATATCTACACTGTTGCTTAAAACATCTAACAATGAGTTAAGTTGTATTTTTAAATACAAAAATGTGATCCAGCCTCTAAATAAAAATTCTTACTAAGTCACACTTGTATGACGGCTGTCCATGTAAAGATTTTCATATCTGTTTAGATATAACTGGGTTTCTGCTTGTGATTAAAATACTTGGGTCACTAATTTTAAACTTCATCGACTCGGTCGTTCACATTTACTTTTATTTCACCTCAGGTGTCAAGTTTTATAACGTTCATAGACACAGTCAATAAATCCGTAGCACAGTTGAAAAGTGTACCTTGACCTCTCTCGGGTGTAAGACAATTAAGCACTAGTCTAATTACCGTCATTTTTAATGATTTGTTTTTTTAGTGTCGTCGAAGCTTCTTCTGTTTTGGTAATGGTCTTGAAAACCAACTCATTGCTACTACCTATTTTGGTGATTCTTAAATAAAGTAGGTACCAAGTCACTCAGGTAGTTGTAGTATTCCCTGCGGCAATCAACTACCGGAGTAACATTGAAGTAGATTATCTCTCATCTGCTCCCAGTCAAGACGTTTAGAACGATGGGCGGAACATTTCAGAGAACAGTTCAACTGGCCTTCAGCTACTCTACAACTACCCTCCATTCCCAGACAATGTGAATGGAACATTGAAGTAGGTCCCCCAACTCTAGCTGAAGTTCAAAAGGCTATAGTTAATCTGAAACGAGGAAGGGCAGCTGGTCCAGATGGATTGGCTCCAGAGGTCTTTAAGGATGGTGGTCCAATTTTAGCGATTAGGTTGACTAATATTTTAGCTAAGATCTGGGAGTTAGACGTTATTCCATCTGACTGGTCGCAATCACTTATCGTCCCAATATATAAGAAAGGGTCAAAATCATCCTGTGACAACCACAGAGGGATTAGTTTAACTAATATAATATCTAAAATACTAGCCTCGATAATTATCCAACGCCTAACTAAGACTCGTGAACTGCAAACACGAGAGAATCAAGCTGGCTTCAGACCTGGTCGTGGCTGCATCGACCACATATTCACCATTCGTCAGGTTCTAGAACACAGGCATACTTATCGGCGTCCGACAATGGTGGTCTTTCTTGACTTAAAAGCAGCATTTGACTCTGTAGACCGCGAGATTCTGTGGCAGTGTCTGTCATTGAAAGGCGTACCCCAGAAGTACATAAACCTTGTAAAGGCTCTTTACTCGAACACTACTAGTCGAGTCAGGGCTTATGGCGAACTGTCATCTACCTTTGCAACCTCAAGTGGTGTCCGTCAAGGCTGTCCACTTTCTCCATTTTTGTTTAACTTCATCATAGACCTACTGATGGAAATAACATTCTCGTCGACTGAATTCTCGGGTATTGATCTCCTACCAGGAGGTCCACTTATCGACTTAGAATACGCAGATGACATAGTCCTGTTTGGTGAAGACGCTGACAAAATGCAGAGTCTTTGGTAGCACTAAGCAACAATGCCAGAATGTTTGGAATGCGCTTCTCTCCCTCGAAATGCAAGTTGTTGCTTCAGGACTGGTCTGCGTCAACACCTGAACTAAGGATAGGGAGTGAAGTAGTCGAACGCGTTGACAACTTCACTTATCTTGGAAGTCTGATCAGCCCTAATGGGTTGGTATCGGACGAAATCTCAGCACGGATTCGAAAAGCTCGTTTGGCTTTTGCCAACTTACGTCACCTTTGGCGAAGGCGAGATATCCGTCTATCAATAAAAGGACGAGTATACTGCGCGGCAGTCCGTTCTGTTTTACTTTACGGCAGCGAAACATGGCCTTTAAGAGTAGAAGACACTCGTAAGCTACTAGTATTTGACCACAGATGCCTTAGAAATATTGCTGGCATGTGCTGGGATCACCGGGTAAGTAATAGTGAGGTTAGACGCAGGGTATTAGGGAATGATGGTAAATCAGTTGATGAGGTTGTTAATCTTCATCGACTGAGATGGTTGGGCCACGTGTTACGTATGCCTGAACACCGATTACCACGACGTGCAATGCTATCCGGTATTGGAGATGGTTGGAAGAAAGTTAGGGGCGGCCAAACCAAAACGTGGCATCAGTGCTTGAAGTCACTAACTTCTAGTCTGAGCCATGTTGGTAGATGCAGACTACTTGGTTGGGGTCCGCGTGACTATCGTAACCAATGGTTGGAGACTCTTGGTGACATGGCTCAGAATCGATCACAATGGCGTCGGTGTATACACTCTTTGTCTTCCCTTAAACTAAGAGATTAAAATCGCTTCATATCTTTCTTTCTACGAACTAATTCTTTCTTCTTGTATTATATCCTTATTGCAATCCTTCTTTTATATATTACCACCTCTGAATTAACCACTTTTATGAATCCGGTGTCCATCGTTCTGTGTTAATGAGGTATGGCAACTTGGACCGATGCATATATGTGCCTGGTCCTACGTTGTGGCTGACTGACTGACTGAGATTATCGCTGTATTTTCCATTTAAATAGAAATTCAGCGGTCTAGGTAACCCAAATATATCAAATTGTGCTGTTTCGTATCATGCACCAAATTTGACTATTGTTTACCCGTCTCCTATTAACCCGGAAAATACATTTCGTCCCAACGTAGCTTCTAATGCGTCATACCAATTAAACCACGGTCGGGGTCATAATTTGCAAATACCTTGACGTTTACAACGTTGCGTTGCATCATTGGTGATATTTATTAGAGGAGAGACTGTGGGATTTCATTTCCATGCTGAATCCATAGATCCTAACATTTTGGTATATCACCAAAAATGTATAGGGTTAGCCTTTTTAACGTAAATTATATCTAAGTAGCTCATACAAGGGACAAGACACTCAAGCTTTCGATGATATATGACTGGATTGTACATTCAGATTGCCTATTTGGTTTCTTTGTCAGTGGAGCATAGGAGGGAAAGTTTTATGATAACTTCAACTTCACTTCAAGACAAATTGTATATAATATTAATCCTCCAGCTTCAGTGACTGTTTTACTGTCTAAGTAATGCGAATTCTCGGTAATATATATATATATATATATATATATATATATATATATATATATATATAAATGGGTTAAAAAGATATGACAGACGGATAATTGTAGCTGAAGATGATTTATGCGATGGTCCACATATAATATAATGAATCAATCAAATAGGTCACTTTTAAGCCACGTCTGTAAAAGTATGTAATCACTACCTTCTTGTGGCGGGGTGTTGTTTATGACATTAAGAGAACAGAAAGCGAATGTCCGGCGCTTTAACCCGATTGGTGTACACAGAGAGTCCACCTAGGGAGTTGGAAAACCCTAATTCTAAACCAATGGTGCACACGGGCTCCAGGATCCTGAAGGAACAAATGGCGTATGAACTAATCGTTGGTCACCAGCTATCATGGGACTGCACCTCCCTATGTTGCTCCACTGCCTTGTAGATCAGACCTTTAGGTCGAAGGCTCCGGTTGTGGCTCCCAAAGAAAACCTCCTGCTTTGATTTGGGCACCCGGACAGTATCACAGCTCATACACTAATCAAGTGAGTTGTGTGGTGCATATGTATTCGGTGCCTCTTTGTACCCATATTTGTGTTCAAATTAAATAAATCACTGATTCACACCATATGGAACAGCGTAAGTAATTCCCGACGTGATTTAAATCAACAGTCAGCGACTGGTTATAAATGGATCAGGTCTGAATTTGATATGCGCACATTTAGTTTTGTTAAAATAAGTAGAATTCTAGTCGATTGCTTATGCATAATGATCCAATGTAACTGACTCATAACTACTACTGACACAACATTCATTGTCAGTTTCAGGCTGAATGATGATCAAAGTGAATGAGCAGTTGGCTACTCAATCAGAATGAGTTTCTTAACGAAACGCGAAACACTTATGCACAAAAGCATTTAAAAGAAACATGTCCCTCAAGTTTATATACAGTATAACCTATTGGCATGCGTTAATATCTAAGGATCATTAAATATCCAGTAAATTTGCCACTTTAGATATCTACAATTTTCCTATCCATTTTGATAGCCACTGTGTGGCACTTACTCCTTTCGTGTTTCTTGTTCACGAATAATGGTCGAGTAATTATCAGATGTACAATCGTAGATGTAGGGATAGCAAACATTGGAGGTGATAACCAGTTACACTGACTCTATTTAAAATCATTCAACTAAGCCAAATATATCTCATCAAAAGTAATTGTTAGCTTTGATTCAGATTTGTTGCAGTCCGCATAAATCCAGTCGCATGGTGCGCATGTTAAATTTAAACGAAAAATAGATATAAAACAACCTAAAGGCAATCAAACAGTTGAACAATTCTCCTAGTTCTTTCTGTTTGAGCCTCCAGACGTACATTTTTACCTACAGAAAGTTATGTAAACAGTCTCACATAGTTTAAATGTCACAGTTGAGCTCCTAGCAAAATTAACCCGCAGGCGGCGTAAAACGTCAACATAAAAAATCTACTGAGAACGTATCAGGCTAACATAATTATATTACCATGGAAGTTAGTACAGAAAGTAATAATCCTCGTTGCTACATCAAGACAAATAATAAGATATACAAAAGTAAAAAGATTATGTCAAGGAGTTAAGTAAATGAGGTACAAACAAAATATCAGTACATTGTTTTCGGTGTGAATATTAAATGAATACACGAGACTTTTATTCATCACTTATGGTTTTCTATCAACTTTAATACTTCACCGGGAAATTCTTCAAGTTTACAACCGACAGCTATGTCTATGTTTGAGTAATATGTTTTCATCTATCGACTTTCAATATTTTTTGAATCTAGTCATGTTGTAGTCAGCAACCCAGCTGCAAGTAAGTAGTGCAATTGTAGGTTTAAATCATGGGTCGATTGCAGTCGATATAGGTTTGCAACCTTATCCAGAACTTTGAGCCTAATTTCAAAATTATATAAACATTGGAAACAAATCTTCCCGATAATGTTTCATAGACAAAATTACAAAAATGCCTCGGAAGTATGAAAAAAACTATAACATCTAAACTGATGATGAAATATCCGTTTACATACGAAGACTTTAGAAAAATATAACTTTGAAGATAACACTTTCTGAAGTGAACGATATTTTGTCGCATCATTATTAGAATAAAACTCGGGAACTTAGGTGTAACACGATTTCACTTCGTAATATGGTAAACACTGAGTCATTGTGTAAGGATTAAATTGTGATGGTCAACATTCTATCGGGCCATCTATATTTAGCAGTATTATAACCAGATATAGAGTGTTTATCTTCCTGAAATATCCAATTTTTCATCTAAAAAAGCGACAAAGTCGAAAAATATAAATGTTAGATGTTTTACTATTTTTAGGAAATATTAATCAATAGATGCATCTGTAGCTCTAAAAGTTTACTTGATACTACTATAAATACATACATTCAGTCTTAGTATTGTAGTTCTATAGTTCATAACATCAGTATCTATAGTGGTTCCCAGGTACATTCTGTTGGCTATTTTCACCAACTAGTCCTCATCCTACACCAAACTCATTTTTAGCCAACACATGGATGGAGTGTCGTTGATCAAGCACTTCGGCTGTCTTTGTAAATTTTGTGGCTTTAGCCCTAAAAAAAACTAAATGAATATGTTGTTATCTACTATTCATGTTCGTATACATCTGACATTAAAAAGTTACTTAACCTTTTATGTATTTTGTGCGATTATCCTCACTTTAGGCACTTAAATCAGTGCGCTGATCGATATTGACCGATGGTTTTTTACTTTTTCAAGCGTAAAACAAAACTAGTTCTTTTCTATTTTGGTTCATTGCTTCCAAAAATTCATCTGGTGAGTCATTTTGTTATTATAATTCCACTAGATACATTATAGGTGTTCAATGACCTTGTCAAACTATTGCTCCAACCCTTCAGAGTAAAAGTTAAAAAATATGAAAGTATATACACAAGTAACTCTTTGTGAGACATTTATTATTCCCATAGATTTGTCTGCTCTCATCTCTCACCAGGAAAGTATATCAACTGTGCAATAAAGTGTGATTGGTACACGAAATAGTTCCGAAGTGATGTCAAGAATGAATTTCAACTGGCATGTTTACCTTTCGGAAACAGGTGCTGAGATTTCACCATTTAATCTGTTTCCTCATGTGGCTCAGAGTTTGAGACACTTGTTAAAAAGGGGAAACACTTGAAGTTAATTCTCAGGGTTTTTCTGAGCAAAAGGAAGCGAGCATCCAAAATTCTTGGTGGCCAGCTGAAGTGGTGTTAGTATCAGGTTATCTTATTTTGCTGAAGTGGTGTATACCGGAGACGGCGGTATATTCATCTGAGACAACTACATGTCCCGTTTCAGGCACATCTCATACTATATCTCAATATCCCTCAAAAAACACGTTTTGGTTTGATGTTAAAGGTCCAGGTTGGGATTTTGTGCAACCAATCGGTTGGTGCCTATCAAAAAACATTAACTGGACTCCACCAAGTCAGATCTCTCATCTCAGTAATCAAGAAAACTGCTGGCAAAATACCGACTGGGCATCATGTTTACGGAGTCGTTCTGTTTGCAATACCTTTTTTGACCGACGTTGTTTGTACACTTTTGAGACCATTCGCGTTGGGGGTACTTCGAATGTGAACATGATCTTAATCCAACTTATGTTTGGCCTGCAAAGGTGAGCTTATATTTTGTAAACTTAACTATCTCAAGGTGCTTATGAACATTGGTGGACGTGTTCTATTGTCATGGTTTGGAACAAGTTCAAAAGCACAAACATGTGATAAGAGCCGTAAATTTTCTACATTCACCCTGTTTTACCTTAATCGCCGCTTGCACCCACTTGGCTACGGAAAGTTGTGTGATCTCAAATATTGTCCTCCTCCTGGTTATGTATTGGAACGTGCTATTTCAAACATTGATGCTTTTATACGTGGTGCTTGTCCGGCTACCTATAATGACCTTTCTAAATCTGTTGACTCACTCCTACTCAAGTCTATATTCTCTGTCCACAACAATATCCAACCTCTTCATGAATTCAAAGTCGGGTGGAAGTTGGAAGCGGTAAATCCACTTAGACCGTATTTTGTACAGCCAGCCACAGTTGTTAAGGTTTGTTTTCATGTTTATATTAGTTAGCTTAGACTATTTTATCAGTTAATTTGATTGCATACAACTCGCGTCCTGATAATAAAACGTTATATCTTCGACTTTGTATCGGATTCGGAAGTAAACATTAGCGATATATACGAATGTACAGTTCAACTGAAATTAGAGGCTGTCATCTCTGGAGGTTCGATGCCAATATTGATGTTTACTGTCAATTCAATGTAATTGATCCCACCAAATTTTATGAAGTCTCCAATAATCACTATTAGATGATATTGCCTGCCCTAATTGTTGTAGTCGAAAGTGTAGAAAGATAGGATGATATACAATTAATATTATCATCCCTCTTAATTCAGCCCCATGCTTTTGTAGAAATAGATCTGTCTATTGAGGTTTTTATTTAGATCACTTTAAATTTCCTCAATAATAATTACCCGTGGTAATGAAACTTTAACTCAATAATTTAAAAACTTTATTTTCGTGATATCATTTTACCACTTTTTTTAGATATTAGCGCAAATACCGGATACTTTCTACAGTAAACATCGAAAATTATTCGATGCGAAGACTATGAACAAAGATTTTCTGTCCACCAAAAATAAATAAAAGCAATAACATCTAAATTACTGACTCAAACATCATACTTTCCACAGAAAAAGTTGAGTCACTATGTATTGCATAGATCTGCACATGATTTTTAAGTTACATTATATTTCGGGCTATCTTTGTAGAAGTTAGATTTATCTTTATCACCAATACAGTATTACTTATCACCTTGAATAATTATCGTTTTTGGAGCAAATGGAACCTCATTCTTTGAGGTCCTACTATGTTAAAAATGTTGGTTGAGAATCGGTAGTTATAGATTAAGAAACGTCATGGTAATTTGAGTCGTGCGTCACAATGATATTAATAAATTTACGGCAAATTGTTCTATTAAAAGCTATCTTTCATCACAATTCTATTTATTTATTTGTTCACCTGCCATATGATTCTTTTCTGTTTCCAACGTCGGATTTTATGTTGCTGAAGTCTGTGACCACATGCGTCAGTACGTTTTTTCATAGCATTCCAGTTCGTTTTCTACGTTTATCCCTTGGTCAAAAAGAGAGAGTAGGGAATATTGATGCCAAAATTGACAGGTACATTAAGTTGCTGATAAGTTTGTGCAACTGCAAACAAAATACAGCAAAACGACAAATTTCATAATAGGTCTTGTGTTATTAATCCAAGATGTTTTTCAGGCTTCTTGACCGTTCACATGAACAAAACAAATCATACATAATTAAATCTTGGTTCCAAACTCCTAAAAACTTTCGCTATATGAACAGTCGATCTGATACACAGACAAATACAAGTAAAGTAGAACCTGGCAAAAGTATGTATATGTTGATCTAAGTTTCTACCCTCCATATAATATTAGCAAACGCTAATCAACGAGAGTAGATCGAAATAAATATTTAAAAAGTACCAGTAGAACAAAAAATAAGGGATAGACTAAATAATACAAACGGAAAGTGAAACATTTCGAATTATACAGTACCAACGACTTCAGGCACTATTTTATCAAACTAGACAATTACTCAAACTTCGTACTATTGGTTATCATAGAAAACTATAAATAGAATTATAACAACAGTGTTTGGACAATATGATGATAAATCTTTTAAACGCTTAATTATCGTATGGAGATTCGATTAGTCTATTTGGTGAAGTTTTTGACTAATTTCAGAGGCTTTTAAACACCTTGAGTAGCAATGAAAAAAACGCTTGTTTCACACTTATTTTACCAAACGTGAAATGCCATTTGAGAAATAGTGTGAGCTTTGAAATAAAGCAAGAATAATCCTGTTTACAATATGGGATGTATTCATTATGTTTCTTAATTTCCTCCTAAGCTACATACAAGTTAATAAGTTTAGCTTGCTCAAAATATCAATATACGTAGAACATTAATAAACAAATCGTTAACCAGTGAAAAGCAAATTATTTAGAGGAAAAAATAATTTCGTTTTGCCTTATCGAGATTCGCAGAGTCGGCTTTCGCCTGGCTTCTTTATTAAAAAGACTCATTGGTTAAACTTCGACTGACTTAGTGAAATAAATGAACAGTGTAAATAACCTATTTATTGACTTTTCACTTTTCCATTAATTGAGATCACAATTCCTTCTTATTTCAATAAATCTTTACCGTATTACGTGATAAAATCGTATCCTCCAATATCCTAGAGCTATCTTAATTATGTATCAGATCTCCATGAGAAATTTCGATTCTAACTTTATCACAAACAAAAGTTTGTCTTCCAAACAGTTTGTACTTCACTGGTTAATGGTTTGTTTATTAATGTTCTACGTATATTGATATTTTGAGCAAGCTAAACTTATTAACTTGTATGTAGCTTAGGAGGAAATTAAGAAACATAATGAATACATCCCATATTGTAAACAGGGTTATTCTTGCTTTATTTCAAAGCTCACACTATTTCTCAAATGGCATTTCACGTTTGGTAAAATAAGTGTGAAACAAGCGTTTTTTCATTACTACTCAAGGTGTTTAAAAGCCTCTGAAATTAGTCAGGTGGATTGTACACTGTTTATATATATATATATATATATATATATATATATATATATATATATATATATATATATATATATATCAAATTTTTACATTATGGCTGAAAGTGTCTTTTATGAAGGATATGATTTTCCAGTCAGTCATCATAATAAAGCCTGGTAAATATGTTCATCCGTATAAGCTATTGTACTATACTAGCACGATGACATGACATTAGCAAGATGTAAAGGAACTAAAACGATGAAGTAGCAATGACAATGAATAAGACTAATCATTAAGAATATGGCTAAGGAAGTAGTATATATGAAGCAATGTTTGAATTAGAACTGAAGAGGCAGATAATGAGTGAATACACATGCATCATTATGAACGATTTGGTACCTTGTCATTCAAAAGATGGGATTCGGTTCTGATTTAGTCATCAGTATAACTGATCTTAATACTTCAACGCTCCCGTAACTGTACCCAATAAGATTTTTCCATAGGATTTTTTCGCAGCTTAATTATTAGCTTAAATGGTAACACCACTCTGTGATACTGTTCCATAAACCGAAGAATACTAGTAAGAAAATATCAAGCAAATATATACATGACTAGCTAGTTAACAAGCTTAGTGGATTTCAATAACTGTGTACGTTTCAGATCGAAATCGTTCTATAAAGTGAAAGTAAAGACCTCTGTCTTAACTAGCCTGATTACTTTAGTTTTTTATTAACAAGCTGTCAAAGTCCCATTCAAATAAATGCACTTCTACTTACTAAGATATCAGATATGATATGCACTGATCAAGTTCAAATTAGTTTCTAGTGTTATTTCTATATAGGTTGATTGTTATCACACAGGAAATCTAATGTTTTCTTAAATTAAAAATATCTTTCAACTCAGTTTTGTCAACCTCATTTTGTCATCAGGTTTAGGGTGATTTTAGCGATAGTTGCTTATAACGAAGTCTGATTGGCTATTTAGTGGTAACCAATAGCAGATTTCTAACCATAAACACACTCATACCTTCATTTAGTTTGTAATATAGTTTTTATGGCTTTCTGACTGGAAACATATATTACTGCTTTATATATTTCCAAGAGTGTAGAATTTTCCCCTAGGTATCTTCACAAACAGGATTTTATTTTCTCGCTTTTATTTTGTTTTGTTAGAAGTACTGGTTGAATATTTAGGCTGTTTTAAACATAATTGCTTGTGAACTTGAAATCTCTGTTATTTGCTTAGTAGTTCTTATTAATAATAAATACTTGTTAACTTAGTCTACTCTCTTTCTCTCTCTCGTAATCTTATTCACCAGGTATTCAATTCAAGGTATTTTCTCGTAGAATTAGATGATTTAAATCATAATGAAGGTGAATCGGATAAAGAAGATAGCAGTATTACTAACTCAAGTTTATTTTCTTTAAAAATTCAGTTTGTTGCTTATGCAGGTATGCCGGAAATTATGCCAGTTAATGAAAGTCAACTAAGAGGAATATATTTATCCCCACCATCTGGTTGGCCTATAAATAGATATTTTACTTGGACTAATTATCTCACTTATCTATCTGCTCATAACAATTATCCAACTAACCAATCCACATCGAAAGATATAAACACTAATAATATATTTATTCAAGATGAATTTACTAAGAACACAAATAGTGTTACTTCAAAAACAAATATAAATACATTTCATTGTACAAACTTATTTCTAAAGACGTAAATCAAGTAATTTCTATTAATGATCTACCTATATGTCCTTCAGAGTCCATTTTCAAAGGGACTCATGCATTTGATTCTGCTCAAAAATTAGAAAATTCAAGTAATTCTAGTTCTGAACAAAATTTTAGTTCATTGTATTCTTCAAAAAGTTGGCAGACTAATGAGAATGATGTCAATTATAAGTCGGACAGGAACGAGACAAATTCAAATAGATTTTTATTAGGTATGAAGTTGGAGATGGTGCCACCTGCATCTATTTGCTCAAAAGCTCATTATTGTGATATTGGACCTGCACTTTGTACAGCTACGGTAACACGAGTCGAATATCCCCACTTATTATGGCTTCTTCCAGATATACCGTGTATAGAAAACTTTACTAATGATGAGAAAATAACCCATTATCAAAGTAGACCGATATTAGTAGATGCTCGATCTACCGATTTGTATCCTGTTGGTTGGTCCGAATTTGTTGGTCATCCACTTATTCCTCCAAGTGGCTATGATATTAAAGAAAGCTTTTCATCAGAAGTTCATGTCGAAAAATCTTACAGTAATAATGAAAATGAAGAATCAACTACTCCCTCTACACAATTAAAGAAAGACTGTTGTATTCCTGGAGGTTTCAAACCTACACATGAACTTCAAAGTTACATTATACCCTATATCAAAGAGGAAATATGTCCACCCATTTATATCAATTCAAGATGTTACCTTGGTCCCTTTTTATGTAAAGTAAGCATTTTGAAATGTTTTCATCTGTAAATTATTTGTTAGACAGATTTCAGTCTACTTTCATTTTTTCGACATGTTTTTCCCAGGAATTTATTGTATGAATTATGGATGTGAGACGAGCGAACATCTTTTACTCATAGTTACTTACTTACTTACGCCTGTTACTCCTCGTGAAGGAACATAGGCCGCTCACCAGCATTCGCCATCCAACCCTGTCCTGGGCAATCCTTTCCATATCCTTCCAGTCATTATCCATCCTTTTCATATCTGCTTCTATTTCCCGACGTAGTTTGTTCTTTGGCCTTCCTCTTTTACGCTTCCCTTCAGGATTCCGAGTTAGGGCTTGCCTCGTGATGCAGTTTGACGATTTGCGTAATGTATGTCCTATCCATTTCCATCGTCTTTTCCCAATTTCTTCTTCAGCTGGAAGCTGGTTTGTTCTCTCCCACAGAAGGCTGTTGCTGATGGTATCTGGCCAATGGATGTTGAGTATCTTGCGTATACAGCTATTTATAAATAATTGTACCTTCTTGATGATGGTTGTTGTAGTTCTCCAAGTTTCAGCTCCGTACAGTAGAACTGACTGCCTTGACGTTGATATTGAAGATTCTGACTTTGATATTGGTTGAAAGTTGTTTTGAGTTCCATATGTTCTTCGATTGTAGGAATGCGGCCCTTGCTTTGCCAATCCTTGCCTTTAGGTCTGCATCTGAACCTCCTTTTTCATCGATGATGCTTCCCGGGTATGTGAAGGATTCCACATTTTCCTGAGTTTCGCCATCAAGAGTGATTGGGTTGGTGTTCTCCGTTTTGAATTTGAGGACCTTGGTTTTCCCCTTGTGTATGTTGAGGCCTACTGATTTGACTCATAGTAGTGGCATAAATTTCATTCCATCTTGGAATGTTTTTGAATTCGTTCAAACTAAAAAGTAATCTAATCATCAATCATCCATCCGAATTTCGAATCAGTTATTCACAATAGAATGCTTACAACGGTTGAAAAATAAGTTTGGTTCAGGTAATGTCATTAGGCATTTTTAGTGTGTACAGTCCTAGGTTTTGCTTCCGATATGACAAGATTGATACGGTTTGAATGAATGTTCGTCCTACTATTCTAAGAACTATCTACACTAACTATTAAGTAATTTTATGGTAAGTCAAAGTAATTATCTTATGTCCTAACTAAATTTCTGGGATATCTATCTACCTTCTACTCAAACATTGCAATGATTTCTCTGTTTTTTAATTAATAATTAATATTAATACCATTGTTCATTCACTAGCTTCTTTAAAAACGCATACCGTTTACCAACATGCTAAATATCTATAAACTCAAGCAAAAGATACTGCCGGGCATTGGTTTATTTTTCCCCTTGTATGTAATTCAAAACGCAAATTCTTTATAATACATTATCTAACTTTTACTCAATAAAAACTGACTTTAGGAGCAGAACTGATATAAAACATTTACTAGTAAAATATTGACTAAAAATAATTTATTGGAATGTTTCAACTGTATCCAAAAAGGATAGTAACATAGAGTCTAAGTGATAATTTGTTAATTGTTGTTTGTGAGAACAATTTTTCCGGCAATATTCTCTAAGATGACAGTAGATTACTCTTCAGTAGTTTTTGACATAACTTTGTTCATGTTAACAAATATGTTTATTGATAGTTGACAAATCTCCACGTGTTATCAGGTAGACTAATCATGATGACCTTAAAAGTGAAATATTCTTATGATAACAAGGAAAAATAGCTTTACATTTACACTCTTGACTTATTTCATGTGAATATTCTATCATAATTAACACTTCTTTGATTCAGTGTTTTAACTAAAAATTTTAAACTTAATATGTTTTTCAGTCTAACCTTGACTTACTTCCTCGTCAATTCGGTCCTGGTTCAGTAACAAGAGTGATGCAATGCTTAATTACTCGTTTGATCCGTGCTGCCCATAAACCTGTGCGCGTATTACGAATGTTCGAAGCTGATTGGGTTACTGGGATGGCATCTGTTCTTAATAGTCGCAAATTGTCAGGGATAAACACCAAAGATTGTGGAACAGCTGAACTAGATAATAATTCTCGAGTACGAAGCACTATTCATCCTTCTCTTCAACAGGCTAAAAAAGAAGTCATTGAACAGCGTCGTGAAGCTATGCGTGTGGTTTTAGTAAGCGTGAGATGTCCTAGACGAGGAATAAAAATTGAGGTGCCAGTGGAAGTTTGTTGTCGAACAAGAGCAGTTGAAGAATATTGTCGACAGGTAATTTTCAGTTTGTGGTGAAAAAATAGATGTTTCGTGGTTTTAGATCATCTAATCATTGACATTTACCCATCCCAATGAACACAATTTCTAACAAAACTTTTGTTTCACCTTTATTCTGAATAACGGTTGTAAACATATTATAGCTCTTCCTTCGGGTCTCATGTTTTAGTTCTTATTATAAGCTAGAAATTATTCCGCCTAAAGACAGGTTGTTTTTTCACCTTCCTATGGCATTATATAACGCGCGCACACACGTATGTGTTCACATTTCATTTGAAGTGAAATGTGTTGCGTCATTTTTTTGTGCGTAAGTTGATCATCATTAAAATCAAGACCAAATACATAATGCTTAAACCCTATCCTGTAGAATTCACCATTCGGGTTGTTTACACCTACTTATTGACATGTTTCCAACACGAAACTATATTCAACTTCGCCGTATTATTCGTTTAATATAACCGTCACAATCTGAGACTAGTTAGTCTTTGTTTATCTCTGTTAGAGTATTCAGTACTTTTTTTGTGCAAATTAAAGATAGTAAAATTACCAGACATAAATTTATATGCCCTAACTATAATTACTTGATCGTGTTGACCATGTATGTTCGATAGAGATCACTTTTTAAGAGTTATCAGACAAATAAACTCAAAAATCATTCATCATTGTCAAATGAAATAAAATTAAGTGTCATCGTAAATCATATACAAAGTTTTACCGTACACAAATAAACTTTTTAACCTGCTAAAATAGTTTGATAGAATATACCTAATGGTATGGATTAGTTGTCTTAACCATATACTTTGTATAAATCAGTTCCTATGTGCATACTTATTTACTAGGCTTTTGACAACGTCCACTATTCAGATATAGTGATACTTGATAAGCAGAAGAAGAATGGGTAGAGCTGGTTAAACTGTTATCCTCCAGTCTTGTATCTAGGTCATGATTTTTCTCTTGAAACACCACAAACTTACTATAGATTTCCTAATTTAGTAAACTTTAGTTATATATATATATATATATATATATATATATATATTGCTTGAATCCTCCCATTGACGTTTAGAATTGCAATCGATCAGTCTCTTATTGGCATATGTGCATCCTGTCCGGATTACCTCGATATTACCTTAAGTCCGATGCCAGCCACCATCCGTTTTTGTTTATAATACTTGTGACTTAGAGCAATATCGAGGTAATCTACACAGGATCCATGTATGCCAATAATAGACTGATCAATCGCAGTCTTAAACAACAATGGGAAGATTCAAACAAATAATACAAAAATAAATTACCAGCTCCACATAGTTTTGTCTGAGCTATCGAGGATTATCACTTAGCTTTCACACCAACAATATGCCTTGAAGCAGAGTACACAAACCAACCTATGCTTGGCAAATAAATCACATCTCTTGAGACTATGTTGACTTTTGTTCGTGACGATTGGATCGCATTAAAACACCGTTGAGATCCCAGTATTTTCATCATTAATTTGTTATAACATATTTCGGTATTGTTTAAACCACTTAGCATTATTTTTTTTGTAAAGATCCTTAATTGTTCTTGCTATTTTCTTAGTCCTGAAATAATTATCAGAATGTTATTATTAGCACAAATTTTTCCTATACAGTAAGTAGATAGACCAACCTATTCAACAGTTGTACCAGTAAAACCTGCTGAAGAGCTACATTTATCAGATGCAATGTTTTGTATGGAAAATTGTAGTGATGCTGTTAGTTATTCAGCTTACCTACCTTCTCTTCATTAAATACATCACAATATAACTTCTATTGTTTGTAAAAGGTCAGTCTCGTAAAGTTAGCTATGAAACCTGCATCTTTGATCTAATCCAAAGGCGGTGGGTTTTGCGCTACTTCGAAACTGCTTAAGATTGAAACGATATAAAAGTGTACTTAACAACCCCATGAAGACATGCCCAGACGTAACATTTTTCGGTTATATGACCGAAACTACCCTCCTATCTCCTATTACGTCATTGATTATGTTGTGCATAGATTAGTCATAGAAATGAAGTTGTCAATGTTTTTAGCGTTCGAAAAAATTAAGTATAGGTAATATACATTCCTTCAAAAGTGTGAAGTACGCAAACAATTATGTTAAGAGTTATTATACTAGGAAACTATAATTAATTACTATTTTGATTGTAGTCAATTTTATACATTTCCTTCTTCTGTCTTCTTTTAATCATTTTATAGATCTCTCTAGTTTTTGAAGCATGTCCACATCTCCTCAGTCTTGTTCCTCCTCCATTACCAGAAGAATCCAACTCAATTATATCACCATCTGTCAATGGATTAGATACTGATCGTCTCTTTTTACAGGAATCAAGTGGAATAATCCCTAACCTAAGTGCAGCTCAAATCCCTACTGAAAATATCTCTTTGATTGACGACTGTCCATCTTTCTGTAGTGTCCGTTTGCGTTCGCGTTACTTTGATCGTCTTCCAGGATGGAAAAGGCGTCTGACTGCCTTACGTGCATTTACTGACTCTTTTTATCTTGATAGTGATCAGAATCGCATTATTTCGGGTGCTCCCAACAGCCATGTCACTCGATCTACATCAACATTACAAAACAATTTAAATTGGGTTAATAGGCTTGAATCCCAATCCTTTTTTCAGTCAAATAGTTGCAAAGTTCCTAATTCAAAGAATAATAACCTTGTGAACAGAGCCAAACGAAAGCATCAAAACTACTCACGAAACTCCATGGAACATGGTAATGAAAATATCTCGAATGGTTTCAAAAACATTAATAATGGGCGTACTGGGTCCAAAAGATCTGTCCGCTCCAACTTTGTCAATCCAGCAGGCAAAAAGCGTATCATTAGTTCGGATACAATTATGGTAAACCATCAGACATCATCCATTCGTGAATCACACAGCCATCCCGCGTGTACTGCTGCCTTTGATACCCCGAAAAATGTACACACCCCTCCTGTCCCTAACTTGCAGCATTCATGGCACTTGAATCATTTATCAGCCGCCCCATCAAGCTACTGCTTAACCGTACCCAACATTCCAAATTCTTCACACAGTAACAGTCCAGTTACCGCACAACTACCTCCAAATCATATTCCACTAATGGAAAGAGATATTGACTCGTGGCTCTGCAATATTCCAAGAGTAGTTTTACCAAGCAATCCTATGTTTTGGACACCTGTTGACTTAGCTTCATATCTTGGCAGTACCGATTGTCGAGAAATGTGGCCATGGCTTGCAGCGGAAGCTGTAGATGGGCAAGCATTTATGTTATTAACTTTACCAGTTCTGCATAGACTAGTTGGTTTACGCTGGAATGATGCTGTACGTCTTGCACGGCATGTAATGTCTGTTAAACAAGCCTTTCTAGAACAGTTTAGTATGAATCCACATTTAAATGAAACATATTCAACGGATAATGTAACATCGTGATTTAAGACTATCCACTAAAAGGTCGACTCTTCACTACACAGATATCCATGTTTTTAGCCTCTACCATACAGTTAGTCTTTCTAAAATAAGTTTTTTTTGTAAATTTGTCAATTACTGTAATTTTTTTAAAAGAAGTAAATTTTCAATGTGATCTTGCATACTTAATGTATAATTTCTGTATTTTCAACTTTTTGGTGTTTCCATCATACTTGATTTTTACTTTACCATCTTCGATTACTTTTTGTATAGTTCAGTGTAATATAAAAAAACACTCCATGTAAAATAAAACAGGTTTATTAGTATGCATAATACGACGATCGAGTTGCTTTTTTAAATGTACATAAATAAAGAATATAGTGAAGTGTGGTAATATTCAAGTAAAACTATTTTGATCACCTTAATTGTATAGACACTTTTCAAGCATCAAAATCCTGACAAGCGCTAATACCGATCGAATGGTTTAAAAAACAATCGCATAAAGTATTTCCGCTTATATAGAGTCAAGCGTAATGTTCATAGTATATTTATTTGTAAACCGAAGTTTTAATGTTTTGACCGGTGATAGTCAGTAGGAAACAATCTTGATTGTTTTCAAACGGTTCCAAATACAATGAGTCAGTACCTTCTGTGTACATGGTTCTGCCGCCTTACGCTTCATACCGAAAACTCAAGAGCTCTTTCATCACGTGAAAATCGACTCGTGTTGTTGAACTGACTGAAAATTCTGTAGAACTTAATTGTTTTTAATTGGTTAAAGTTTATCTGTATCAAAATTTATTTTGCGATACATGGATAGTATGGAACTGTATGGACAATACATCCTGAGCCTCATTCCAGTTAACCACTTCAAGCTGTATCACTGATTTTGGTTACTATACACTACGGTATAATTCAAAAATCGGACTGGAGATAATTATGTAGTCTTTTCTGAAGACTAGTGAAACTTCATATTAATTTCTCTACTAATAAAAAAATAACCATAATGTGCTGAATCGCTCATACTAATCCATCGGGAATTATGGTGAGGATCTGTCACTAAGACTAGTTTTACTTATCATAATTGCATTTATATTTTTACTAAGGTTGCTGTCCACTAACTTAATAATTTTCGCCATCATTTTGGCGAGTGGATCTCAAATCCCTGAATGCGAATTTCGATTCTTACTGGTGTGAATGGATAAGTCAGTAATGTTGATCAATAAGTTCGTATTTGGACAAATTACATCGGTATCGACCTTCCATCGTAAACTCCATGGCTAATCACTGATCATTTTAAGAAATACCAGTGAAAATATTAGCATGTTACAACTCTCATATTCTGCAAAAACTCATCGTATCGAAGTACATGTATTCGTATGCTTATATAAGTAGTAAATATTTTAATCAGCTACAAGGTAGGACCAGACACTTATGCATCGGTTCAAGTTGCCACACCTCATTAACACAACAAGATGAACACCAAATTTATAGAAGTCAACTCAATGGTAGAAATATATAAAAGATTGCACATAAGGATATAATACAGGAAGAAAGAATTAGTTCGTAGGAATAAAGTAATTTTAATCTCACGGTTTAAAGAGAGACAAGGAGTATTCATCAACGTCATTGTCGCCCAGTCTCCAACCATTGGTTAAGATAGTCTGCATCTACCAACAAGGCTCAGACCAGATGTTAGTGACTGATGTCACGTTCTGGTTTGGCCGCCCCTAACCTTCTTCCAACACTAGTCAGCATTGTGTCGTGGTAATCGGTGTTCAGGTATAAGTAACACGTGACCCAACCATCTCAGTCGATGAAGATTCACAACCTCATCAACTGATTTACCATCATTCCCTAATACCCTGTCTGGCTTCACTATTACTTACCCGGTGATCCCAGAATATGCGAGCTATATTTCTAAGACATTTGTCATCAAATACTAGTAACCGACGAGTATCTTATACTCTTAACGGACATGTTTCATAGCCGTAAAGTAGAACAGAACGAACTGCCGCGCGACATACTCATCATTTTATTGACAGACGGATATCTCGCCTACGCCATAGGTGACGTAAGTTGACGAAAGCTAAACGAGCTTCATGAATCCGTGCTGAGATTTCGTCAGACACCAAGATGTTGATAAAATGCAGAGTCTTTGGGTAGCACTGAGCAACAATGCCAGGATGTTTGGGATGCGTTTCTTGTCCTCTAAATGCAAGTTGTTGCTTCAGGATTTGCCTGCTTTAACACCTAAAATGAGGATAGGTAATGAAGCAGTCGAACGCGTTGACAACTTCACTTATCTTGAAAGTAAATATTTCACATTATAAAAGAGTACATCGAACGCCTCTTTTAAAATCACAAGAATCAATTCACTCATAAATATGCTGGAAGTGGGTAGGTTACCCTTTACGTTAATGGTCAAATTGCATCATAAGGCGAGCCCTAAATTGGAGTCCTGAAGGCAAAAGGAAAAAGAGGGAGACCAAAGAACACATTGCGCTGAGAATTAGAGGCCGACATCAAAAGAATGAATAACACTTGGGAACAACTAGGAAGGAAAATGTTGGTTGGAGATTTCTGGTCGGCAGCCTATGCTTACGAGCAGTAGCAGGCATAAGTAAAGTGAGTAATATGCTTTCTGTGTTACATCCGACCTGAAGTACTATTCCCTACGACTTAGAATGATTATCAAAATATTGTTGGAAACAGAATCTTGTGGAAGCAAATCGTGTATGAGTGCAAAATGTTGCTAACACGCAAACTACTTCTGTAACTTACTGAATCCCGATAGGCAACTACCCAACAAAGAATTCCTGATATCTCAACTTCTGCGGTTAATAAGTAACCAGGAAAAAAAAGGCAAGTTGAAGTTTCTATGATTAATAAGGCTCAATTTTTTTATCACTTCCGAAATATCCCATGTTTTTTCAATTCTTTACTTTTGGACTTCCCCAGTTTATCCGCCAACTTTTTCTGTAATTCATTTCTTCGTTTCTCTTCTGTTTCCTAGAAGACAATTAAATACAGTTATTTTTTAAGTTTAGAACTTTGTTTTGGAAATAACATCGTACTGATATGCTTTCACACTGAATTTAAATCGGCTTGATATATGTATGTTAAATTTTATTTGAAACATTACAGGTTGTAAGCAAATGTGAGAACTTGAATAAATAAAATGAATTCCTTTATTCTGTTCCAGCTCTCTTCAAGTCAGTAATGGGAATCATGTGTATGAAATGATTACTAGTTAATTTGTGACAACTTATTAACTCAATTATATAATCTTGAGTGAATCACTTGAACAGAAACAATAGTTGTAACTTCCTAATATATATTCACTTGGTTGGTTAGAAGTTCTATTTGCTGAAATCTATTTAGAACCAGTTACTGCAGCCATCTCATCTATTCCAGAAATTTGATCATTCATTTGAGCCGTTCATAACAATTCTATAATTTCATGATGTTAGTCCGTTAATATTATAACTCATTTCTAGCTTTGCAAATCAAAGATCAACGCAGTAGTGGATGAGACGCAAAATACTCCCCAAATGGACTTGAACTACGCCCCTAATGGCCCTTGACTCAACCCCGACTACTGAGAAGACAAAAAAGAGCAGAAAGTGTATTTTCGATCCAGAATGCTAGTGTTTTTGAATGAAAATCAGCTACTCATAATCCGAGTTTTCTAGCAATTATATCAATGATACTTGCACGGTTGAAAAATTTTGGATAACGACTAAACGACCAATTTTTCGGTTGATACGGGTCAAGTTTCCTGGAAATAATGAATATAGACTACGACCATTCAACATACAAACTTGCGAGATTAATACTTGTTTATAAGAATAGTATTCAAGATACGGAATTTGAGAATGGGTTACAGTGGATTCTCCATAACGTTATACTTTATAGCAATCCAGGGCATTTGGGGGGCAATGCCCTGGTACGGCCGAGAGTGGAGAGAGTCCGCTCTCCCTCTCGAAACGCTCTCACATGGCCACGCGTATACAGTCTCTGCCAGGGAAGTCCTACTCACTGCCTTCTCGTGGGGGGGATGTTGGTTACGAAAATGAGAGGACGAAAGAAGAATGTCCGGCGCTTTAACCGGATTTCAAACCAATGGTGTACATGGGCTCCAGTATCCTGCGGGAACAAATGGTGTATGAAACAGTTGTTGGTCACCGGCTTCCATGAGACTGCATCTCCTTATGATGCTCCACTGCCTTGTGGATCAGACCTTCAGGTCGAAGGCTCGGGGAGTGCCCCCCCACCTGCTTCAGTTTTGGCACTCGGGCAGTATCACAGCCCTCACAAAAATCAAATGAGATTTGTTTGGCGCCTTCTTGTACCAATATCTATGTGTTAAAATAAATAAATATGGCAATCCAGAAAAGTGAAAATTCGAATGCATTGGAACCCAAATATTTTTACAGTTAGCTTTCTATTTACCGTTTTAATTACAACGAAAATAATTTTTTTGGCTTCATTTTGACAAACTATTTTCTGTAAACAAACATTGTATAATGTAAATGGAACACTCATATATGTGAACTATCATGTTGGCGTCAGGCAGTCACATATTGGGTAACTACAAATTCAAACGGTTAATTCATATGATTACTACTACATATACATTACACCCAGCTTTAACTAAAAGCTTGAGGAAACAAGTTGTTTCTGTTTATGTTAATCAATGTTTGGGATAACATTTCACATAAATTAATATTTCCCGTACAGATTTTCACTGCTACTAATACTACTAATTCGAGTAATAGTTTGGTGAATACTCACTCGTCAATGAAGTACTTAATTGCCAAATGAATTTTTGAATAGTAGTAGTAAAAAAGAATTGAAACTGTTCAAAATTCCTATTGAGATCTATTTATACTAGAAGAGTAAAAGAAATATATTTTTCACATTGAAAAGAGATCTCAACACAATGGTGCGAATGAGACATGAAACAATCCGAGTAGTTGAGAGTAAAAATTACCATGGAATTCAAAGATGATTTAATCGACGTGGAGTGAAGAACATTTTCACATTCAAAATATTATCTGGTGAGAGCTATGGCAACAGAAAAAAGACAATCGACGTATTATTTAACAAAAATTACCTGAACATCTTTGGTGTTTGAATTGCTTGATATTATCCCACGTGTAGGCTGTTTCTGTTGTATCGGAGAAACACACATATTTTGAACTAAATTTATTAACCAATAGCATTGAAGTATACTTTTAGGAGTAAATAAATGTTTAGATGCCTCACAAAAAAGATGTTGAGTAGAGGACGAAGAAAGTAAGCCTGTTGAAAAGTTATATGAATAACTAAAATCCTGACAAAACAAAACAAATATGCAAAACCACGAATTTAAAACAAGTGTGAAACGTTAGAATTAACTAGACTTAAAAAAAGAATTACTATACTAAGATTTTCAAATAATAAGATGTCCATTCGATGAATTTATGACATACAAAATAACTTGTTTTAAAATGACTTAACAAAAAATATGTGAAACAAATGAATATGATACTTCAAACGAAAGAAAAATAGAAACCGTTCTTGATTTTAAGATTTATGATTTGTAGTAAGAGTTTGAATTATCCTGTTGTTGACATTTAGGATTGACCGTTTAAAGATCCCCATCATATTAAAAGACTAATATTTGAATGAAGAATATTCTACTCGATAAATTCTCCTCAGGTTCTACGATTATATATCCAAACTAATAATTATTAGTTTGGATATATATATGTAGAACCTGAAGAGAATTTATCGAAAAAAATTCTCGTCCGAAAATTTAGGATCGAATTTTGATCATCTTTTGGTGGCACAACTACATCTTGAATGGATTGCCTCAATACAACTATTTTGTAACAAGGTTTTACAATAGGCAGATTGTACCCAACAGTAAAATCTAAGGTGCACGTTTAGTGCTATTTAGGACTGGTCAACTAAATGCATTTGTATTCCAGTGTTTATATTTACAATGATACTTGAACCCGGGACGTTTCGCTTTAAACTCCCAAGAAATTGATGGGTATATGGACTCTAGTTCGATGGGTAACGGGCTAGATTCTGTTGTAAGATACAACCTATTTATCTTAAGAACTGATTGTTTGTGGGGAACGTAGTACAATTACCACCTGCTTCTAGCTTGATATATATCTAATGGTGTATGAGACATAATTTACTTGATTCAAAAAGAATGTCATGAAGCGAAATACTGTTGTGAACAATTACAACTCAGGAAATACTCTCATTAGTTGTAAGCATTCTTTCCCATATTTTTTGTTTGCAAAATGAGATTAGATTGATCACCATGACTGTAACATCCCAAATTACAACGATAATACTACTACTATCTATATGTAATTACATGGTTACAAGTTGAGTAATCTTCCTTGTGGAATACTTAGAAAAGCTACTTGTACTGTTGGAAGTATGCATTTCTTAAAACAACAAGTCTAATGTAAACTTCCAGACTATGAAGAATGAAATTTTTGCCAAAGGTGATTTATTCCGGACCAATTCTCCATGAAATCAAAAATTAATTTTGCTAGAGCTTACATGTGAAACGTTGTATGTGGTTAATTAATACCTTTAGAAATATACCTATAATTATTTGCCTGGAGTGATTAAAAAGTACTGTCAATCTCAAGAGAGTAAACAATCGTCTAAAGATGTGAACAATCAGGTAAGGTGGATGGAATGAGTTCAAATCGTATCATAAATAATTTATTTCCGAAATATTCATAGGACTTTTATAAGATCGACATGAACAGATATCTAGGTACTAAATTCACGTCACACATTAAATGTTACAAGCAAAAATAAGAGACTAGAACCAAATTAATGATGAAAACAACCGAGCAGTGACATCCCATCATATTTCTAAAGCCGGTTCTCAATAATAATAACTAACCAGATCCACGTCTTCTTTTTTCATATCCTCACCCACTAGTTTAATTTGACATTTAAATTATCATTGTTACTTGGAAGCATTAGTTTTTCATGAAGCCGATTTGCATGATGATTTAGAGCCAATAACTTGTTATTGAGTAAATCTTGCTTTTTACAAAGTGATTCTAGTGCAAATGAAAGTGGCAAAACAACATGATAATGCAACTAAAAATAAATTCTTTTATAATGTAACTAGGTACCACAGAAGAAACAGGAACAACAGCATCACTAGTCCAATTTATTACAGATTCTCCAAAGGTGTACTGAAAAGAAACACTACATATGTCTGTGCAAACCTGGATTTCAGCTACCACTTTTCCAAAATCAAAACAATCACGAATAGTGTGGCGGAGGGTATCACGCTGAAATTCAAACTGTGGATTAAGAGTCTTTATTTTGAACATGTACGGAAAAAAAAGTGAACCTTTAATCTTAGAAACAACTCTTCTTCAGAAACAGTTTCGACCCAGAATTTATCTTTCAGGAAGAAGAAAGAAATCCCATTAGAAAAATGTCTCTTTTTGCATTCATCACACGGACAGTTCACTTCTGAATCAATTGCAGTGCAAATCATTCCCTCAACGATCCTGCAGTTCATTATTAGTATTCGTCTTGAAGGCGTTTTTAATAATTGACAGTTAGTGATTAGAGTGAAGAAACTAAATGTGAAACTGGAACACAAACATCTATCCAAGATATGTATCTGAAAAACATGTAGATGAATACTTTACAACTGAAAATTTAATATAATAAATTAACGTGATGTTTTCCTAAGAATGAATCGGAACTGAATAAAAAATATCAATGTATGATAGTAATCTGTTTATTTAACAACTGGTGTGGAAAAATCTACAGATCTAGAGATTAGATTACACAAAGTAATCTGAAGTCATGGAAATAAAAAGCCTAAAATAGGGAATATTAGTAATAACTTATCAGAGGAAAACAATTTCTGGTCCGGTTACCCTGAGTGAGCAAGAGAGTCTTGGAAACTTCTGACAATTTATTGGCTTTTCACTACGGTTTTTTTCAAAAGTTATAACAAATTTTTAAGCACTGGGACCGAAAGACGTTGCTATATTAAAGTAATTTGAATTTATGGATGGTCAATTCAGTTCAAAATGCTGTGATGCGACGTCAGTCATTCGATGATAGTCAACTTAGGACAAGTGATAAATGTACATCAAACAGTTTTCCACAACACACTAGAATAATAAGACGAAGTTGACAAGAATAACAGAAAATTCAAAACAATAGTGCAAATTTTGTTTTGGGAACACTCAGAACTGCGGTCGGTAATATTATTGCATTGTAATGTGTCTAAAAACACAGAAATAATGCCTCGGAATAGAATATCCTGAAACGGGCTGTTTAAATGACAGTAAAGGGGCATAAGATGTACAGGACAAACTAAAACTGACGTCACATACTTCGATGAAATAATGAGCAACTTTTATAGAAGCAACATAAATTTAGCAATAAACCTAGTTTTGAGCAGGCTTTGTGTCCAGCGCTGGCCGACTGAACTACTCCCAAAGTGCTTTAGCAAGTGTTGTTAGTGTTATTGAAAATTGCCGATCGGAAATTCGCTAACCATGTTGATTTTTTGAGTGATTCAGTCAACTAATCATTGGTAAATTGGGACCGAATTTTACTGACTCAAGCTGTCACGTCACAGTAGCAAAGCAAGAGGAACCAGCAAAACATGATGTAGAGAAAACAAAGTAACAGTATTCTCTACCATGGGAAGCCAAACACAAAAAGTAGTTTAAGGAGAATGAGATTGAAGAATAAAGATTATGGAAAGACACTAAATGAGGGAAGATGAATACAAATACACCGTTATAATTAGGAGTGAAGTAGATAGCAAACGGATCTACACACAGCCGACGTCTTAAAAATCATAGTTTGTGTGAACGGAAATTGAGAGAATAAGTTTAGCTGAAAGTATCAATGACATATAAGGGATCTCTATAGTTTCAATTATCCTGAAATCAATCCAAATGAAGATTTTGAACACACTCCGTTTCTTTGAAGACTAGTTATTGTCCAATGAATACATCCTTCATGAATTCATGAGGAAGCTAAGGTGAAATAAAAATAGCAGATATCTTACTTGTTAATTAACAAGTTCTGAGAATATTACATGTAGACAAACTAGGTGATTAAAACGCAAAGTAAGATAATTGAAGTACGCTCATTGTAGAACAGGAGTATTTTGAGTTGCGTTGATGTAGTCACTTTCCAATCAACGAAATCATGAGGCCTAACAGTATGCTTACAGCCATTATGACAGAATTCTGAACCTAAACAACGAGACATTTAGAAAAGTGCTAAGGGGAACTTGACAATTAACCCATGGTTTTTAATCAGTGCATCACATATACATACTTATTCATATTTCTAACCACATATGTCCAAAGAAACCGAACAGCTGTTTGAGATAGCATTATCAAGCCGTTTCCTTTGTAGTACAAGAGCTGAAGTAGAGAATTGAAAAAACTTCAAACGTCAAAAATAGCGAATTCATGCTCATAAAACTTGAATACAGTTAATTCGTGACACTTAGTCGAGGTAAAATAGTTTAATATTATTTTTAAATAACAGAAGTGACGATATATTGTTATTATAATAACTCCCAAGCAACCAATAAAGAGGAAATAAAGGGGACGAAAGCGTAAATAAAGGAAAAATGTCGCTTTTCCGTATTCACGCCGGTCATTTAAGGGAAATGTCCATTTTTTCCCCTTACGTCGGGTATTTGGGGATATTTGTCGACAAATGTACGCAACGTACCTGTTTGAATACACCGCACCCTATACTTATGTTTTCATAAACGTCGACAAAATAAGGCACCGCCTAATAAAAAAACGAAACTATTGTCATAAACACAGGTAGGTAACAACAGACTTGTCTTTGGCACTTCAACGTGAACAGTAGTCTGTAGTGTTAAATAAATCCTCGAAATCAATCGCTCTGTAAGTCCAGGACACTGGGTGGTGACTACTTTAGTTTTAATGGACCCACCTAGCTGAAGGCACTCGGTCATACATCCGCATACATCCTCACCAAAACATTAGTGGGGACATCGTGCTCAAATCCTCCTGATATCTCTCGCCCGTTTAGATCACTCGATTATCGATATATTGATAGCCTATCAAATATATCTTCGAACCACCTCGCTTCTGATTTTAATGTCAATGGGCGGGCACGACTCATGTATAGGTGTCACTGGTCGAAGTGTTGTCAAACTCCAAATACCTGTGACATCTTCAAGTCCATCTGATACATGTTACAGGCTACAGATACAACTTAGGTAACTCCCCTCTAGAGGTATCGTTGGTTGAAAATATCTACTCTACGATCTGAAGTCAAATGGTTCAAATGGTTCAACTGGTTGTGGACGGAATAGAAGAAGCTTTCGCTTAACAGGCTTCCGTGTCTAGTAGCAGGAGATCACCAAATCCTTCAGGCAGGAACCTAGGTATGTTAACAATAAAAGAGGAAAAAGAAATTGGTAGATCATAGAATGATGCTCTCCTTGGTCCTTAAGAATAGGTCAAGTTGCCTCCTGAAGGACTCCTAAGAAGTCGCTTGGACTAGCTTAGCCGGCAGCAATTTCCAGCATTTGACAACTCTTAAGGAATAGAAGTTATGTCTACATTCCGTTTTGCTATGTTTCGTCTCCAGTTTTTTGGGTGTTACCCCTTAGGTTAGTGTTGGAACTAAGCTTAAGTAGGTGTTTAAGAGGATTTCCAGAAGTGTTGAGAATACTATAAGCCAATAGTAGATCACCTCTAAAACGCCTATATTCTAATGCGTAAAGGTCTAGTGAATGGAGGCGCTCTTCGTAAGGTTTAAATTTGAGTCCTCGAACTGATTTCGTCGCTCGCCGTTGGATACGCTCCAAAGTGTCCTTATCCTTTTGAAGTGAGGGGAGAAGTACTATGTTTCCGTACTCTAAATGGGGACGGATGAAACTATTGATGATTATATGGAAAGTTCTTCCGTCAAACTGGCCAAAAATGCGCTTCAATGTTACTAGTGCAAGGTTTGCTCGGAAGGCATTTTTGTCACAGTTAGCATAAGACTTTAAATCGTAGGGCACCGAGACTCCTTAATCTTTTTCGACTTGGGATACTACTAGAGAGGAGTTTCCAAGGTTATAACTGTAGTCTTATGCTAACTATGACAAAAGTGCCTCTCCGGCAATGTTCAAGAGCATTTACGGCCATTTCGACAGGATAACATCCCACACAATCTTCAACAGTTATATTCGTCCTCATTTAGTGTACATAAACATAGTATTTACTGATTTTCTTCAGAAAAGGTCAGACCACTCTAGAATGTATCCAATGACGAGCCACGAAATCAGTCCGGGGACTCAAATTAAAGTCTTATGAATAGCTCCCTCAATCAGTGATCCTTTGTGGAATACAGTGCAAAAGTCTTAGGGGTGACCTAACGATTTCTATTATCCTAAGCATTTCTAGGCATCATTTTAAATTGCAATGGCTGTGCTTCGTTAAGCAATCACCCTAGTAACCGTCATTATTTAAACCCAAATGATACTTGAATTCAGGAGGCAAAGATATATATATATAAGAATAGGGAGATGAATGAATCATCGAATCAACTAGGCAACTAATAGTAAGGTCGATGGGATGAATATATGCGTAGGCAGTAGGGAGTGCTTAAGCATTCATGCTCATACATTCGCAACAATAATAAAGATACAATTATACAGATAGGTTGTTCTTGTATGGATGACTCAGTTCGTTAAATAAGTTGACAAAATGACTTAACCGAGTTAAATGTGAACAAAGTCAATTGCATTTGAGTTGCTATAAAATGCCTACTTAGGCTTGATCCAAACGCAAACCTTGAGGGTAACACCTGCAGTGTCAGTTATTATGCTAAGCCCATATACCTTATTCTATCTTTCGGATATCCCATTCTATTCATTCTACTTGAGTCATATGTTGACCTTGTCAGTTATTCGCTTATCAGTCTTGACTGTTTTTATATGGGCGTATATGTGTGTGCCCTTCTTATTCCATTAATCACATGTCTGTAGCTTTATTTTGTCTGACTGTAAATATTGAGTAACGCTTGACTAAAATGGAGCTGGCTTCCCAGCAATCTTCCATACGTGTCATTTTGCTTTGCTATGTTTCATTCGCTTCATGTACGAAATATATGTATTCTCAAGTCAATTCTCGTTATTCGACTTATTTAATTCCGTTATTGGATAACGCGATTGAGTCGACGATTATATACGAGAATAGGTGATAGCAAACATTCGTACGATATTGGAGTCAGATCCTCGGGCCACCAAACACCCGGAAACTGGAGTCAACATAACAGAACGGACTGTGAAAAGATCTTCTACTCCTTAAGAGCGGTCAAACGTTAGAATTCTCTGCCAGACGAAATAGTCCAAATGACGTCGTCAGAGTCTTTTAACAGAAAACTTGTCATATTTTTAAGGAGAAGTATCTCATTATGATATTACTAAATTATTTTTCCTTCTTAATCGTTAATATACTTATGTCCTTTCCTGGAGGCATCGGTGATCTAATGCTATTAGATACGGAAGCCCATTAGGCAGAAGCTTCTATTATTCTGTTCATAACTATTTAAACCATTGGAATACACACAATTATTGAAGACTGAAGAATAATGGATCTAATTTGAGATTTGACGTTGCGTGATGCCTGAGGTCGTTCCAAGTAGAGTTGCTAGCTTTACGAGTGAAGATAAAGCAAGTTGATCTTACTTTAAATACACAACTTAGTTTTCATAATTTTTTTCTTCGGTTAAACTTGAACTTTAACATTCGGTTAGCGTTTTCTACATTCTCGAGGATGTAGTTGTTTGATCAAACAACTAATAAGGGAGAAATAAAGGTGAACGACGGGGAATCAATGGCGAAACGTGCCAAAATATTTGCTTTTTCGCCCGTCGAAGGAAAACAATTCAGGATTGCCCATTTTTCTCTATTTGTTTCACATGTCGCTGGATTGTCTACTTTCTGCCTAAATACATGCTAGCTTGTGTAATTTCAGCTTAAATGATCCCTAATTTTTAATATTCGTTTAATTACACACTTTATTCACCACCTTTTGTTCAATTTCGAATGTCTTGTATGTCCGCTTTTATTTCCATAACAAACCACATGACGACCGCAATTGACTGCATTAAAAAATGATACACGTTTATAGACATTTATTAAAAAAAAGAAACATCATACTATACAAAAATATTAACAATAGTCGAATGCTTGAGCAACGGTCGTTATGTATTTTCATAGTAAGTGTCAAGTCCTGTTGAAATTTACGGAGATAAAAGAAATTACATGTCATAAATGACAAGTGCATATAAAACTAAACAAACTTCCACAACATACACTTTAGAATTTTCACATGCAAGTCAGAAATTCAGTGCATGGTAGGAAAAAGTTTTATTAACAATTAAGTCAAACATAAAAGATATTTCAATAGTAACGCCCTTCCTAAACTGTAGTGTAACTATTCCGAACCAATGTTCATGCAAATTCTAAAATTTGATGAACGCAAAGCAGTAAAACATCCAAATGTCATAGTTTGTTAAACAAATGAACTTGAATTAGTACTTACGGTTATTTTCCTTAATATTGAATACTACACCTATAGAACAGCAGTTAATAGTTATAACATATTGGTACATACGTGTTCTTGTTTTCTCCGATGATGCTTTTGTATTTTGTCTCATGTCGTAAAAATACCTTTACTTCACGATGTCATAAGCTTCGGCATTTTGTTTTCCGTCGACGGATGGGGACAAGAATCGAGATGTTAATGCTACTAAAGATTAGAAATTTTTTCTTCGTATGCAGCCGTAAAACCTGCAATTCTTAAGTGTCCTTTCCGATGGAATGCCTAATACAGGGGAATGGTTGTCAACTACAGATGTCATGACGTATGACATAATATAGCGCATGGACGTCTTAGGATTATCATCCATTAACCACGTCAGGATGGCCTTCTGGAATAGAAACAAGTAGTCCAGTGAATTTTATTGACTTACAAATTTGTCCGTAATGTCTTTTCGCTGAAGAAATGCACCTAATGTTATTAGTCTCTCTTCAAATGACAAATGAAACTGCAAATTTGGTTTTCGATAACAATTTTCTGTGGATGTTCACGCCCCATGCGACTTCGATATTAGCTGCATAATGTTCGCACTCAAGTGTGAAATGGCTAGGAACTATTTATGGGAAATTACGGTTTCTACGTTCGTAACTTACCGCTGTAGTAAGTGACCTTGCACTTCAGGACTGACCAATTGTCATCTGGTTGGTCATTGTTCTGCGGATGCATATCCACAAGGTCCATAGGATAAAGACAAAGTTCTTTGCCCACAATCCACTATTTATCTGCAATCAGAACCTTCCTCCTGCTTGATGCGTCGATAATTACTTACTGCTCATTAGTCGGCTAAACAGTATATAAAAAATAAGGAAATGGTTTAAAGTAATTCCATCAACAATAATTGAAGAAATACATTCACATGGACGTATGTAGCAATGGAACAATTACTACATTATTAACACAGGCTTCATGTCTTTGATAAGTGCGTTTTTCGTAATGTTCTATTGCTTATCAAAAAGCGGGTCCACTACTCAACTATTTGATTTAAATCATTTCTGTAAAATATGATTTCTAATTTCATAAACAGCCGAAAATTGCAATCCTTTGACCATAAAAGTTCTTGTGTGTAGTGAAAATGTGTGGCATGTAATTTTTTTTTCAGGGATTAAGTTGTTTTCGTTGATTGAAGTATCCAAATTCGTGTTAGATATCAACTACTGCCTCGTTCGTGTTTCAGGATGGCTAGCGTAAAGGGTGATTTCGATACTCATAACTATAAAAGTTAATGTGACTTATTTACTAAACATACATTTATGTATTCGCCTCTGGAAAACATACAGTGGTTTTGAGTGCTGTTGGAAGTATGAGGGCGGTTATCGATTCCCGGTTGCCCACACCGTGGAAGGGTTCTGAAGGTACCTGAAAATGAAATTGGATTACAGGTGGTCTTAGAGACCAGAGAGCGTGACCGCAGTGCCCAAGGGACAGCTGCTTGAGGTCGGTCGCACACGACCTTTTCGCGAGTAATTTTCGTGTTAGCTCGTGTTTCTCGAGACCTTACCGCCGCAGGCGGATATCCATGGGATAAGGCGAGGTGTGCATTTTTAGGGTCGACCTTTTCTAACCTACCCCTCCGTGTGGGAAGGCAGCATCGCTGTCATGCTGGTTGTCTGAAGAAACACCTTACTGCTGCTACACCTTTGTATAATCAGCAGTACGATTTCGCCCTCAAACCTTGGGTTCGGTGCTCTTAGTCTTACCGCTCTTTATGTCTAGTAAGCCCTAATGAGTTGGTGTCTGACGAACTCTTAGCACGGATTCGAAAAGCTCGTTTGCCTTTTGCCAACTAACGCCACCTATGGCTAAGGCGAGATATCCGTTTATCAATTAAGGGGAAGAGTAAACTGTGCGGTAGTTCGTTCTGTTTTACTTTACGGCTGCGAAACGTGGCCACTAAGAGTATAAGATATTCGTAAGCAACTAGTATTTGACCACATATGCCTTAGAAATATTACTCGCATCTTCTGGGATCACCGGGTAAGTAATAGTGAGGTTAGACGCAGGGTATCAGGGAATGATGGTAAATCAGTTGACAAGGTGGTGAATCTTCATCGACTGAGATGGTTGGACCACGTGTTGCGTGTGCCTGAGCACCTATTACCACGACGCGCAATGCTAACTGGTGTTGGGGATGGTTGGAAGAAGGTTAGGGGCGGCCAAACCAAAACGTGGCATCAGTGCTTGAAGTCACTAACTTCTAGTCTGAGCCATGTTGGTAGATGCAGACTACTTGGTTGGGTTCCGCGTGACTATCGTAACCAATGGTCGGAGACCCTAGGTGACATGGCTCAGGATCGATCACAATGGAGTCGGTTTATACACTCTTTGTCTTCCCTTAAACTATGAGATTAAAATCGCTTCATATCTTTCTTTCTACGAACTAATTCTTTCTTCTTGTACTATATCCTTATTGCAATCATTCTTTTATATTTTACCATCACTGAATTAACTACTTCTATGAATCCGGTGTTCGTCTTGTCGTGCTAATGAAGTATGACAACTTGGACCGATGCACATATGAGCCTGGTCCTATGTTGTAGCTGAATGACTTTGGAAAACATGTTTCAGGCCGAACAACAAGAATCAGCTGTTGTCATCGTTTGGCGTAATATCTTGTAAATAGTATTTCACGTTCATGATTCAGGCAACTTACCATCATGTAAGGGAAACTAAACCCCTAATTTCTGAATTAACATATTTTCAAACTTTACTTCATTAAGCAGTCGTAACTAAAACTTCTTACTGAATAATACAAATTACTATTTAGAAGCAATTCGAAAAGATTGCTTTATAGTCTGTCTATTTCTTTCTAGATTTCTCTTTCACTCGTCTTTATTTCACTTAATTTTCTTCCCATGAACTATTTACAAGCCTCTTGTAACCTAATCTAGGCTGAAATCATAACGTTCATATACTTTCAAGACCTTATATAATTTCCCAAAAAATGCAACATTTAACGTTCGTATTTCTCTTTTCCAGGCTTTTCCTGCATCCAACCTTTTAAAAGGGTCGTCATTCTCAAAATGGTGTTGTGTAAGTGGTGGAAGCAGGCAAGAAGCTGTAGAATTGAGTGTAAACTGCTTTTCTCATATCATCTTAAAGCTTCATAGTTTTCCGAACCTATTGAAATTTCACGTTTAGATATTGGGAATAATGGTTCTGCCTTTATCGAAGTGCTGGTGCGAAGATCTGCTTCATCGGATGACTCATCGGTAACATCTTAGTTGGCTGTTCAGACCAGTTCTAGGTACTCCTGCCATCCTCTTCTTTTATGTCTCCAGTAGATGCAAAAAACGAAACGAACCTTAACCGTGTCCGGGTATTTAGTGGTGATCAGTTTATAAAATCTATAGCTTGCCAGAAATGGGATCTAGTCAAATTTGTTTGCTCGCAACCGTTTAACAAAACTTTAAAGTATGGCATTTCTTTCGTTTTCTTCCACACTCCAACTAATGCGAATCCAGCAGCCGACGTAAGCGTCATTTTTATGCCAACATTCACATCATAGGATAAAAACATTAAAGTAGATAGCTTACTGAATGACGAAGAATCAGACTCAACTCAATTCAAACCAGGTTCACTCTTTCAGGCTTCACGCCAGACATCTTGTGATAAAGAAAATTCACAGCCCAAGTCCTCAAGTAAGGATACATATAGAGATTATGTTTGTAGTTTCAGATCAATTAAATGCTTTGAAACATTCATCTAATTTAATTCAGAACGGTAAGTTTTTTTCTATTTCCTCCGATATCACTCTTCATGTTCCTACATTGACATAAAATTGTTGGTAGCTCTCAGATAATATATACAACTCAATATAATTCGCACAGCTGTGCATATTTGTTTATTTTCACTTTTTATTTCACGATGACTTGCCGTTTTCTTTCCTACTAACTGGATGATACCGGTTTCATTGTGCTGAGGGCGCATCTCAGTGACATTAAGATTTGACTATCAGACTTAATCTTGCTCATTTACAGTAAATGAGATTAGGTTTAACCTGTTTGATATGATTGAAACATTTTAATATAGAGTTTATCACAGACTTGCTGTTTGATGGAATTTTATCGATGATGACTATGTTATCTATGTTTGGAGGACGTAAGTAACATGACTAGTGATTGGTCGCTTTTCGCATTCATTTTTCCGTCTTCCTTTGAATCTAAAAATTAGTATCATTATATAAACTGGATTTTTTGACCTCTCGTTACGTTCGATTTATATATATATATATATATATATATATATATATATATATATATATATATATATATATATATATATATAAGCCCTCGAATTTTAAGCACACTTATTTTGTCTTATTTATTTAAACGCACAAACGTTGGCACAAAGAGGCACTATAATATATCTTTGTTTTACACAAATCATTGTGTGGGGGGGCTGGGGTACTCCCCGGGTCCCCAAGCTGAGGCAGGTGGTTTTATTAGGGGACCATTCCTCGAGCCTTTGACCCAGGGGTTTAGTTCACAAAGCAGTGGAATAACACCAAGAGATGAGGTCCCATGTTTGCCCCCAAATGCCCCTGGCACGGCCGACAGTTGGGAGAGTCAGCTCTCCTTTTCGAAATGCATTTACATGAGCATGTGCATACAACCGCTGCCAGGGAAGTCCTACTCACTACATTCTCGCGGTGGGGGTGTTGTTTACAAAACTTAGAGGACCGAAAGCGAATGTCTGGTGCTCTAACGGGGTTGATGGGTACAGAGAGTTCACTAGGAAGTTGGAAAACCCTGATTCCAAACCAACGGTGCATTTGAGTTTCAGGATCCTAAGGAAACGAATGGTGTATCAACCTATAGTTGGTCACCGGCTACCATGAGATTACATCTTATAACGTTGTTTCACTACCCTTTGGATTAGACCTTTAGGTCAAAGGCTCGGTGTGGCTTCCTAAGAAAACCACCTGCTTCAGTGGTGATGATGACCGCGAATGAATTCGCACGCTATTTGTTCTTTCAGGATCCCCGAATCTGTTTACACCAATGACTCGAAATCAGGGTTGTCGAACTACCCTAGGTGTACCTTACTTACTTAGTTTATGAATAACTTATTAGCCAGACGTTTGCTACACTAGGTCATATTCCTGTTTTAACTGCGATCAATGTTTGTCCAAAACACCCTTATCCATATATAAATTAAATGCTAGTTTTTTAATTATTTCTGTAGCGAATACGTCAAGTTCATTACTTGTGAGTCGACCAGACGATCATCATAGTTCCTCTAAAGCCATTACCAGTTCTCACCAGTCTCACTCAAGACCTTCTCCCACCAACACAGGCATAATACGTTCTTCACAGTCTTCTCGCATATCAAAGAACAAAGAAGAATACAAACAATCAAAAACATCTCATTCAACCCAAAAACCTCTATCAAATGTTATTCTGACTTTGAGTGGTTATCAAAATCCCTTAAGAAGTCAAATCAGAGACAAAGCCCTGGAACTTGGTGCCAAGTACAGACAAGATTGGGGTCCAGATTGTACACATTTGATGTAAGTCAAACATGTGTTCTTCATTGTTCAAACATTTGTACTTCAGTAAATTTATGCAGATATCCTTGTTAAATTTGTTTCAAATTTTCTGCTGAATTACAATATAAATTCTTACACAAAAGCATAAATTTTCTGTAATATAACTCAGTCAAATTTCCTTAACTGATAATTGTTTAGCCACTTACGTCGCCAAACTAACGTATTTAAATATAAACTTTCCAGTAGTCTGTCCAAAGACCATATAGAATGATTTAGGATAGAAGCTTTTGAAGATTAAAATAAGAGTTAGTGACAATCATCAGACGTTTGTGTATATTCGACCGCTATTCCAAAAAGAGATATTTCGCACTTATCAGCTATCAGATTAAAAATGGTATACCTGACTGTAATTTCACTGACATTCTCCTACTTTCTATAATGTAAAAAGTTTTCTATATCGTTTTCTGGGTTAATATTTCATTAAATGTATCAACTTTCAAATCTATGATTTTATGGGGCTAGTTAAATTTACTAATTTCTGGACTTATCCAAATTCAGGTGATCCATACTTCCTTGTAGATCCAAAAAGTTTGTGTACGAATTGATCTACTGATATATTTTTGTGTAAGAAGGAACATCTTGTTCATATAGGTGACTGAATCGATTAATTGGATTTGTATTGGTGTGTTTTTGAATCCAAATTAACGTGAGAGGTATGCTTCTAGACATTCCTTGAAATTCTTGGAATTTCTGTAGTTCAGAATCTCGGAACTTTAAATTCTGTTACTCACAAGCGAACATTGTCACTTGATTCTGTTTTATATAAGTCAGAAAACATAACGCTAATGAAAGATAAATACAATATCATTTATAAAACATGTTTTAGCAAATGTGAGAAACATTGAATTAGACGAGGTGAATGACCCTTTCATGTATGCATATACGAACATATATTAGCAACCAAACGACGCGGTATCCCATCACTTATTTCACTTGGGTAGAAATCCATGAATACAGATTCGATAGTAAATTGTTACTAACCCATTCGGAGGAGATCAGCCAATTATTCGGTCATAGATCATCAACTAAAAAATACAGTAATCAGAAACTGAGAGACGCATGAAGATGAGGAAATAGTCTGTTTTAGTACTTGTAGATAAATCAGAATGGTCTCATCTTGAAATAGGGGTTTGTGTGATTTCGCTTAAAACGGTAATAAAAGCTTCACAATTAAATCATCCATCTCAAAGAAACTAATACTATCTAAAGTGATATAATTATTCTCTGACAATAATGATTATATGATTGATTTTGTTTATCTGTATTACAATGATTGTAGTTGAAAGATATGGTGTTCTTTTACTGATTTCATTTATCTCTTTTCTCTCTTTAACCTCACTTCATATCTTTATAGCTGTGCATTTCCAAACACACCTAAATTCAATCTAGTTAAAGGTAAAGGTATAATTGTTTCCGATAAATGGATTACACAATGCTACGAAACTAAAAGTAATGTACCTTGGCGTAGCTATAGAGTTGGACGTGCACCTAGTCCACCAAATACTGCAACTCTATCTTCTACATTAAATCAGTCTTTAAATGATGATGATGATAATGACGATGGTCAGTCTCCGAAATCCAAGTAAGTTTATGCGTATGCGATTCAATATTTTCCTTTGAAGTGGATTTGAAATATCGTTTATACTGACTATAATTCATTACGTTTCCATGATTGAAGTGGAGCAGTGGCTGAGTGTATTCTACTTCCAACCATCAGGTCACAGGCTCAAGTCCCGGTTCACCTAATTTGGTTTGAGCAGCCTAATAGTGTCACTATCCGGAAGACATCAAGTATATCTCATAGCCGCGTTCACGTGTCTGTACTTGGTGTATAACAACAAATGACTGAAATCGGATATGATCCAGACATTCTAAATCGCACTGCTGATTATTACTATTGACCATCATATACCAACACACAAAGTCGTATGATTCCACTTACTTGCATTAGCTTTCTTCCTCTTTCCACCCACTTTATTTCTCAGTAATCAAATCTCAAGAAACAGAATATTGTGTGTGTGATCGTTGAAATAGGTTTTTCAGTACTATAGGAAGTGATTTCCTACAGACGCGATTCTATACTAATCTCCAGACTGTCAAGCAGAGTCCTAATTTATCCAGTCCGAACAAGTAAGTTATTTGGCTTGATAAACCTTCTCTGTTTCTAAAACGTGAACTGACACCGTTGGTATATTTAAAAAAACAGTCTATTAAACAGGTAAAAAGAGCGACATATATGATATACTGTACAGTAACTAGAGGATAGGAAAAATGAGTCAAAAAGTGTAATATCATTTATGATAAACATAAAAGATTATAATCAGAGAGGGGGATTGTGGATATATTAATTTATTAGTTGAATTCATGCGTCATACTAGGACGAAACGGCCGTCCAGTGCTTCCAGGTTTTCTATGGTGGTCTAGCTTCAATTGACTCATTAATTCAACTATTAAATAAAAGATTATGATTAGTGAATAAACTAGGCATAGTCATACTAGGTCGAAAAAAGTCAATATTGTGGTGGGTATTTAATGTTGTCATTGGTAGGTTTGTTTATCGACCATACCTTACAAGTACCTTAGGTGGATTATTTGCCATGATTGTCAAGCTGGACGACAATGAAAACGTAGTTTCTCAGTTATTTCCAATGATATTTCACAAATACGGGCAAAGGAAACCTGTAATGAACGAGAACTCAGTTTGGGGGACAACCAATACATCTTAATACTAAATTACACATTATCATGGTAAAATATAAGAACCATGCAATTAATACTTCATTTGCGAATTTCCATTATTTTCTTTCACATTCTGTATGATCCTTCCGACTCACAATTCCTTTCTAAATCCGTTGTTGTCCCTTTCAATTCATCCTTCATAGCCTTCTGATGCCCAGTTTTCTACTTCCAATTGGTGTTACATACTACTTATGTCAACAGACATAAGTAGCTTGCGCCTCAAACTATCCAAATGAGTAGATAGTGACGTTTCCCTCGGGTAGCATAATTTTCCTTGAAATTATTAACAAACGCCAAATAAAATGAGATATAAATTAAAAGCTTCTTCTTGTTTACGTTCAGCCACTTAGTAATTTTACTCTTTTTCATCGACAATTTTATCTGGTTATATTGTTTGCTCCAATCATCAACAAATAGGTTGTATTACATTTGCAAAAATGCACAGTTAGATGTTGTTTTAAAACTAATCATGTTTTGTACACATATTTTTGATGCGTTTTCTCTTTTTTATCCATTTCCTAATTTTTATCACAGATCATCAGTTCATAAAACTAATCTTAGACTACGTAAGTTGTCATATATTGTTTTGTAATGTTTGAAATTTTCACAAAAGTTTATTAGCAAATATTTGCACACATTCATGTATGCAACTCATTAATTGCATTGAAGTACACTTGATCGGTTATCCGACATCTCTTTATCGTAATTGAGATCATGGATCGATCAATCTTAGACCACCATTGAAAACCTGGAAGCACTAGGCGGCAGTTTCGTCCTAGAATGATACTCATCAGCAGTGCACATCCACGATCTTGCACACGGGATTCGAACCCAGAACCTTCAACCTCTGGACCACTGAGCCGGCATCGAACAATGTTAATGTCTACCTTCAACCAATCTTTATTTGCTAAGCGTTCATAATACTTCTCCTGCTTGGTTGACCAGTGTTCATATTCGTTATCTGTTAACTTAGAGTCAATGTATACATAACGGTATAATATTTCCTTTCTCTAAAATGAGAAATTATTTCCGTAAACCATCATCTTTTTAATTTGTTACTCACTGCTTACTAAACTACTTAGTATTTTATGTATCAAGACATCACACCAAACGTTACTTACACTTTATGCAGAGTAAATTAATAGTTGATAGTCGACTAATCGAATTATGTAATCAGGTAAGAAATCTTTAGGATTGCGAAATTTATTTTAAATTTTAATGAAATCTAAAAATAATAACTACTCTCAATACTTGTAAGTAGATACTTTCTTTATACTTAAATTATTCTATTGCTTCTAATCATACAGGTACTAACCTCCGTTAGATATTCACTGCAATTGATCTACTTTGCATATAAATTATTTAATTCTCCTTTCAAATCATAAACCTGACTTAAAATCTGAGTTATTCAATTTAGTTATCGTATTATATTTCTTACATTTTGTCAGTCAAGCTTAGCAAATTGGTTTTGCTGTAAAGTATTAATCAAAATGTACTAATTCATTACAACTGACATATCCAACACCACTTACATCCTAGTTACGTCTTTTCATGATATTTACATGTTTAAAGTTTTAACTAAAAGTCATGATTTGTCTATTTCGTCTATCTATCTGATAATATAAATAGACATCAATCGTCCAAGAATGAGTTCATATTGTATTTCAATGAACTGAATTATTACCAACGATATAATTCATTGTATTATAAGCTAGTATTTTAGAAAAAATTTAGATTTTGATCATACCCCTTGGTTTATTAGATAAGAATATTACCAATGAGTTCAAAGTGTTGTTAAAATGTGTATCTAATAATCTTTAATTTATAAGGATATCAACCAACAAAATAAAAAAGAACAATTAACACGTTAAAAGTGTCTCTTAAGTTAGTATTTTCTTCGAACATACACTCTAAAAATAATAAAGCCCTCGTTGTCTGTACTATCGTGTTAGAAATTCATGATCATTTAGCATAACTACACTATCTGAAACAAATTTGTATATCAGTACTCGGTTGTGGAGATTTGCCGAATTTTACTAAGATCATGAACCTATCTAAGTTAAACAACCATTGAAAACCTGGAACAGAAAATTCGTCTTAGTATGGAAATCCTCTACAATGCAGATCCACAGCCTCGCAACCACGAGTCGAATCTAGAACTTGCGGTCTAGCGCGAATCCCTAACATTTAAAATATTGATCCGAGGTTAAATTGTGTACAAGTCTAACTTCAGTCAATCCGCGACATTCCTCGACCATCTCCGATTATCATCAGGCGGTGATATTATAGACCATTGTATCTCGGCTCTGTGGTCTAGGGTTTATGCGTTCGCTCACTAGATATTGTGTTCGATTCCTGATTTCGGGGCTGTTTGATGTGCACTGCCAAGGGGTCTCATACGAAACCGGAACGATCGTTCAATCCCTCCAGGTTTCCAATGGTTGTCTAAATTTTTTTGTGTGATCTCAATCAAGTTTGCTTATGTCAAATTTGTACGGATATCATCTACACATTATTTTATAGAAATCCTACAAATGTGTATTCTCATTGTATAAAATAATATTATATTTGACATTTAAATTGGACACATTGTTCCAAATTTTAATATGATGTGATATTTAACTAAAGTATGTACATTTGAAAACATCCACTCATCCCATATATGGAGAATCGCATAGCACTTAATGCGTAGACTTCCAAGCGAAGTTTTATGAAAACAATCGAGTTGGAGGGGAAGTAAAAATGAATTCGGTTATTATTATTCGATTCACGAAATGTAGTTTCTATTGTCTGTAATATAAGTAACAGCACCGTACATCCAGCTTAGATTAGTTCACAAACGGAAAGCATCTATCATCTTCTCTTCAATAACAATCTACCTAAAAATTTATGGATTCGATTTATTAAGCATCTTATGTTCAGTTAAATCCTTCCTGAAGTTCTTATTCCCGAATGAGACAGTGCTTTACTTGACACTAGTGGTTTTAATACTCAACAAACCTCTTTAGGCATTTTTGTAAATCAACCTCAAATACAAGCGTTTTTTAACACTCAATAATCGGTGATAAAAGTTTAAGAAAAAACCTGAGTTGCTCTAGAACTTCACTCCTCGATTTTCAAATTCTAGTTTAATAAGTATTTCTGTTTTCAGGAGGAAAGAAAAAATCAGATGATGACGACTGGGAACCAGGTTCTTCTGATGAAGAAGCGGATAATGATGACGACAACGACGAATTCCAGGAGACTGACGAAGACGAAGATAATGGAGAAGAAGGAGGAAGTGATGAGGACTTATCTGATGAATCGAATCGAAGAAGGAAGCGTAGATCAAAAACTAACAGTAAGAACCTACAAAAACGACCCCGCTCCACTACAAACGATGGTTCTAATGCCAAAAAAACTGGTAATTAAACTTACAAGAGATTTTTGCCATTTTGTAAAAAATGATACTCTATTGATTATCAAAAGTTAATGAATAATTTTTCGATAAGTTTCAACATACGCACTATATCATCAAACTCCTGTTATGAATTTCGTACAATCGAATACTATACATATACTCTATTGTATTTGGCTTTTGATTATAGCGTGAATCATACGTTCTGAAATAATTACCTTCGTCTTAAATAATGTCGACAGTGTAAAAAATTACTGTATATACAAGAATATAATTGAATTAACCATCATATGTATTGGTTATGCATTATGGGTTTATATAATTATTTCATAAACATATGCATCGATTTAATCCAGACCAATTTTGAATTCTGGGAAAATCTCATATTGTCAAAACATAACTTTGGGAAACCAGTTTACTTTCAAGTTTTGTTTAAATGTACAACTGTCCTGGTACTACGGTAGGAATTTAAAGAAAGAACTAACTTCGATACCACGATTTTCCTTAAATCGTACTAATTTTACTCCAAACACTTAGAATGGCTACTGGTTATTTTTCTGCTTGTCCCCATACTTGTTAACTGATACGACAACCAAGAATTAGTCCTAATTGATTGGAGAGTATATGACCTGCAAAATGATTTCATCTAATAGTTTATAGCATCAAATGTACGATATTTCCTTTCATCTACTCTCTCTTCTTTAAAATCATCTCTTGTCGCACGATTTGGCTCATAAAAATACAAGCTCCTAAAGTGTGTTTTATTTCTGAAACTGAAGATATCAATGGCTCTAATGAGACTGCTTGATCCATGGTTTATTGGGATTGGTCTGGTTTATGTGCTGTTGACTCGACTTGATATTGTGTAACTACAATTGGAGGTTCTGAACTTGAAATCGAATAACTTTCAGTAAATTCTGGCTCCAATGCCTGAATCTGAATTGGCAGTAGCTTCATGACTGTTCATTGACTTCGTCATATGGCTGTTTGCGACCACTGTATTGTTGTATGAGTTATGATTTCTATTTGTGTTATATTTTATTCTGAATGGCATTGAATTTTCCGATAATGGTTTGTGAATGATGTTCAGATTTTGACTTATCTATGATTATTTTACTAAGTTCGATCTCTGATAACATCAATTTGATACACATAGATATCCCCTCATCTTGTAATACTTGAAATTTTTCACAATCAATTTTTATCCCTATTGTCATTGTCACGAAGGAGAATGTTAATGATTCAGTGGGTTGATAAACAATTCCTTAACTGTAAAATTAATTAAAAGAATACTGCTCACGATAGCAATTTATTGACTGAAATTACTGATTAATCTTAAATAAAATATAAGACCACTAGTCAGAAAAGTAGGTTTCCTATATAATAAAGTGACATGTTGTTATATCTAAAACTAGGATTTTCGCTATACCGCATACAACTTAAGCACTCGAACGCTATAACCCTTCAAGTTAGATGTTAGAAGACAAAAGATAAGTAGGAAGGAATCTTATTTCAAATAGTATCAGATATGATACAAAACACTCAGGTATTTATAGTTTTTAGTTTAAACGAAATCATCATTACAGTCATCCAATCTGCATGCAGTGGTTTTTAGCATTTGTCCAATCGGGGAGCTACACGTCGAGATTCTGAAATGTTCTTCCAAAAGATGATCAGATGAAATGTCTTCGGTTCTTTCTGAGCTTTCTTGAGTTCACTGGGGGTCGTCCCCACAGATGTTTATATGCAAAATAAACATGACGAAATGTCATAAGCAATTAGAGGTAATCATTTTGTAAGTCACTCAATCTCCAGCCAATTAAGAGGTATTTTTTTAGGTTTTATATTACCTCTTCCACAAAATGATGTGGGATCCTTCTGTGGCAACATTAATGAAATGATTCTTTTGACCTGTTTCGTTTATTTTTCAGCTTTCTTTAAAATCATATTTCTATTCTATTTCTGTCATTGTCTGATTATTTGTTTTCACTTTCTTCTTTAAACTGAAAATCGGTTGCGCAATGCGATCCATAACTATGTATTCTTTATAGAATTTTTCTTCTGTTTCTTCCAATCACTCTGAGAATTATCATTGAAGTGGTGCACAGTAGTACATTGTAATTCAATCAGTCATATTCTTCCGAATAGGTGTTTCGTTTTACTTAGTCAACATTTTACATAATATTACTTACGACTAAAATGATATAAGTAATTCTATCAGGTTACTCGAGACTGGCTTCTCTAACTTTACCGTTTGTTTCTGATCTGTTAATGGTCGCTTAATTGAATAAATAAGAGATTATATTCAATTACAAAAAAATGCGAAAAAGAGAACAGTCACACAAAAATGTATTGCAGATAGATTTTATTCATTGTCTTAGTTTGTTTTACGATTAATAAACGAAGATAAGAAAGAACCTGTCAAACTGACATCACATTCGATTTTGAGTATGCAGAGGACTTTGTAGATGCTTATTTACATGCCTTATTAGATATCATCGATCGATGTTCAATACATCAAATTTTACCATGACGGAAGTATAAATATGCTTCAGTATAAAACTCCGTACATTTACTTATTTATCTGAACACATAAATATTGGTACAAAGGGGCACCAAATACATATGCGCCACACAAGTTACTTAATTTGTGTGTTGGCTGTGATACTGCCCGGGTGCTCAAATCGAAGCAGGTGGTTTTCTTAGGGTGCCACACCGCGAGCTGTCGACCTAAAGGTCTAATCCATATGGGAGTGAAGCAACGTCAGGAGATGCATTCACGTTGTAGCCCGTGGCCAATAATTGGTTCACACTCCATTTGTTCCTTCAGGATCCTGAAGCCCGTGTGCATTATTGGTTTGGAATCAAAGTTTTCCAACTCTCCTAGGTGGATCCTTCATATCCACCAACTTGGTTTACACCCCAAACATTCGCCTTTGGTCCTCTCAATTTCGTAAACAACACAAGTTAATGAGTAGGACTTCCCTGGCAGCGGCTGTATACGCGTGGCCATGTGAGAGCATTTCGAGAGGAAAAGCTGACTCTCCCCACCAGGGCAAATCGAAGTGAATTCTTGTTTCACGATTTGTTTATTACTCAAGTCAGTAAATTGCTAGATTTATAAGGCTTAAAGAGAATTGATGTAGTTATGTATCCAAAATGTCTTCCGTACAACTACTTCACTGACTAAACAGCTGTCCCGATGCTTTGATTCAATAAAGGTTACTGTCTTCAAATTCCAAACTGTTTATTTATTTATTTATTCATACGACTAGATCCCTTGATAAATTTAAACAAATCAAGAACAATATGGTTCGCAGAATAAAATGAATTCATTCGAAAAATCAATAGAAAAGAAATATCAATCTCACTCCGTTTTGCAGAGTCGATCGCTATCAAACGTTTTCCGACCTGACCTATGTATATAGAAGAAAAGTTTGGTTAGCCTTTCCCTATCATGGTCATTGGATATTTATCTAATAACCTTTTTTGATCTTAATTTTTTTCTCAACCTTACCCCTAACCTTCTATTATTTTATTGTTCTTTCGTCTTCTGATATTCATCTGTAACATAATCTAATTGATGTTCACATATTTGTTTATTTTATCATGTTGAGTGATTACCCAATCACTTATTAATTTCATTACTCTTATATAACCTCTTAATCATTACTTCCCAACATATAAAAATACACATCGATCTTGATTATGTTTATTCATACACTTTGTATTCCTATTCTTCTAACTATTATAATTATGGTTACGTTTCGAACATTTATCTGAATTTCACAAAATAATGTATGCTAAACATTTGTTAAGAATTACAATTACTAACATAAATATAACTATTGAAATTACTACAATCTCCACAAACCCCTTCTGATACTAATTTTAAATTTCACTGATTGAAATCATGAGTCAGTTGAAGCTAGACCACCATGGAAAACCTGGAAGCACTGGACGGCCGTTTCGTCCTAGTACAGGACTCCTCAGCAGTGCGCATCCACGATTGTTGTTTGCAGCTGATGAGAAGTCGTGAAATAGAATGAATTCATTTTATTCTGTGAACCCCGTTTTTGCTGCGTTTAAATGTTTATTTATAATTTATCCAATAAGTACATCAACTGAGCTAGTAAGGATTGTTCGCTCCATACATAACTAGCTATCTTTTTGGAATAAATTATATGAAATATATTACCATTCTGCTTTACATTTGTGAATACTGTAAAAAACCTAACAGTATTCATTCATCAATTACGTTCATCTTAAATGAAAAACGAAATGATAGTGTAGTTTGGTTAAGAATAAAATAGTAAAAGACCCAACCATTATCTTTGACATAGTATGAATGGACATCCGATGAAATTTGTGAACAAGCATATAAACAAGGCTGATACAAAGCTAAACTCGATAACCATTTCAAAGAGATCATTGTTCTTGAAACTCGAGTTCATAAACAGCATTCCCAGTTAAATAATAACAAGTTTTTTTTGAAAAGGCTCCAAAATAACGTTCCTGTATCTAAGCTACAAACTATCCAACAATCGTCCCATCCTTACAGCCAGAAATAATGATATACTGCCTTAACTTGCTTCCTCTATGGGCAACCATCAGTTCGATTCCCCCTTGTATGGACAATTACTTCGATACACGACTGGAGTTCTGAACAATTGAATGTGATTAAAAGTTCCGTCTCATCTAGATTGCCACATGGTTTATATATTGGTCTATTTTATATGCATGAAGCCTCCTGCACCCATCTTAATAAACTCAATCTTTGTGTTCAAAAGAATTTTTTACAGCCGTTCCTGCCACCTTTTTCCGAACTGCTCTTATTCCCAACACTCACCACTCTACCCTTACTTCCCTAACGTTTACATTCACCTTTTTAACAAAGTTATATTACTCCGCATAATATATCAATTTTGTTAATATATCAAGAGAGATCGATAGTAGCAAACAAGGGACTTGTCAGCTGGATGTTTCTACACCCGAGTTGATGTTCACCCCGGGACTCGAACCCAGTACCATTCATTTCAAGCGCCATCACGTTATGCACTTAGCTAATAAGCGCAGATAGCCACAGGCTTGTGCGATGGGCTGAAGTGTAGTTCATTTATATTAGTTGCTTGAATCTTCCCACTGATTTTATAGACTGCAGCTGATCAGTCTCTCTTTGACATATGTCCGTCCTATACGGAGTGCTCGATATTCCCATTTAGTTACGAGCATTACAAGCAGAAATTAACTGATACCTTTAAGTATTATAATTACCCTATTCATCTCTGAACTACTTCTTTAATAATCCAGTTACGCATTCTTTTTTCTACTAAATCTTCAGCTTCAATATTACATCATGCATCTTTTTCTTTGGTTTTATTTGTCTTATTCAGTGTTTTTCCTATTATTTCGATTGTTTTAATTTTTATCCTGTTAGTTTTGTCTCATTGTGTTAATAGTAAATATGGCAACTTGAACTGATGACCATTCACCCAGGTTCTATATCGTTTGTAACTGGCTAAGTGGAGAATGGTGACAGGGTGTTTAAATCATTTAAATTTCTACCATTATATATGAAGCTCGAAATTTATTCTAACTACTTCGGTTTCGGCAGTCAGATGATATATTATTAACCTAAATCAAAAACGGCTTCAAATCGAGTTTATAAACTAGTAATTGTCTGCTAATTTATACTTGTTGAAATTATCTCTTCCATCTACACCCACATTAATTATTATCGTTCATGATTTTTATTATTATTTCCAGTAACTGCTAACGATCCAGAAGATGAAAATACAGATGATGAAATTCAAAGGTTTGTAGACTTTTTTCTACGGGAAAAACATGTTCCTTTTTCTTTAAAAATGATTTCACATTAATTAACATTTTCAATTTCATTTTTTTCATTTAAAAATCCAAATGCTTATGGCATCTAAGTCGTTTACTTCTGTATCCTGAATTCACCCTGGAAATAATTTAAGGATTGAATTTAACTATACTATACACCATTGAGGTTGAGCGAATTGTATAATGATATTAATACATAATACATGTATTTAAGATAAGTTGGATTGAGAATTATGATGAAAGAGCTGTACACGTTTATTTGGTTATTTATGGAAAATACTTGTCTTGCTTCGACCAACAATCAAACGATTCACATTATTGTTATTATTTTTACGGTTATTTGATCAGTTCTTCCGTCTTCAAATCAATCTATTATCAGTAGAATAACGTGTTCATTTAGTTGGAGATCACTTAACCTTCCATTCATTTGTATGACTAATAAATAACGATAAAAATATATAACTCTATTTATGTCAAAGTATTTATCATTCTTTACTTTTGAACGTCTATAAAATTCATGAATTGGAGTAGATCATGTATTGAACATTCAACTAAGTATCATACTTTTCCTAATGCTGTAATTAATACACGTATCTTCCATCATAGTACATTAATCCGTAACCTAGATCATTATCAAGAAGCATTTGTTTCAACTATATATACTTGATGTAATTAGTTCGAAAAAGTTGCATATTACACGCTTTCTTGTGATATGTGTGGATTTTCATCCGAATGAAAGTTTAACTTACTACTTATGACAACTTTTTATGGATATATGAATTTATTAATGTTAAATAATGTGTCTGAAAATGGAAAATCGATCTTAAAAGTTACAACAATAACATATGGAATATACTCATTGAAACATAAAATAAAGAAGATTGACTCAGTAAAGAGTTCTCTTTTCGGCGAATTCATTTTCACAGCTGTACAATCATATATATATATATATATATATATATATATCTTTTCAGGATGATAGTAATTACAATAATAGTGATAATAAAATTCTGTTAAACATAGACCTTTTACCCCCAACTGATTTATTTTTGTCTTTACGATCCTCCTGACTACATTTCATCTCAATTTCAACATTTTATCTTATCATGCTGAGCCATCCTTTCCCAATTGCAATTTCTTTGTATATTTTCATGATGAATATTTAAGCCCCTAACAATAAAACTATTATTAGTTTCCCTGCTAAAAAATTTTTATACCATTATTTTTTATACCTCCCTGTTACCATGTTTTACAGTTGATCATCACTATTACTGTAATTATTGTAATTGTTATCATTCTGAAAAATAAGTATACATATTTGCGATTGTACAGCTGTGAAAATGAATTCACCGAAAAGAGAACTCTTCGCTAAACCAACCTTTCTTATTTTAATAATAAAATAAGTTAATAGGTACGAAAAGGCTTTTTTCATTAACCTCCACTGCTGAGATCACTTTCACTATTATGGTATAAACTATGTACACTGATTTTTAATGATTCATACTATTATGTCTAGTTGTAAGTTGTTGATGTGACATCACGAGATTTAATCAATTCATGTTATTTTGCTACGTTGATTGTTCTGGTTTTACTCAAATTTATCGATGGGAAAAATTGTATTTATAAAAGCAATTTATAACTAAAATTATGAAATAAGATGTCATCCAGTTAAATGTTGAGAACAGAAAACATCTAAGCTGTACGAGAATAATGTTTTAATATTAGTGACTTCGGCAAAACGTAATACATTCGCAGTTGTTTGCTAGTTGATTATTTTGAAGGATTTTGAAATGTGAACATCGTTTCCATTATCTAACAGAAAACTGATTTAGCTCCTGTAGAATATACCCAAGGATAAGAAGACATAAACTGTGTGCATGTGTTTTTAATAATAATTATCGTTTCTAGGTGGTAAATAAATGAAGTGAATTGGCGAAATTAAAGAATTGAAGTTTTCATTTCTTAAAATTACTTCGAGAAAATCCATTAGTTACATTCATCTCATATGAAACCCAACCGCTTAATGAAACACTTAAAGTTCAGTTTATTCCCCGACTACTTTACGATTGTGAAACATCACTGATTTTAGACATTTAGTGTTATATTTAAAACATGTTTGTGTGTATTTTGGGACCACAAAATGAGTTATGTCAAATTGTAATTTTTAAGTTTAGAGGCTTTGTCCATGTATAAAAATATGAACTAAATTGATAAGTTGTTGTGTAATATACTTCAGCATAATATGATCCTAACTGAAACCAAGCTTCAAGAAAGGTTTAACGTTTACTTACAAATGCATTTAAGTAGTCAGATTAGCATAACAGAAAATTTGCTTTGTGGCTTTTATCAGCTCGACTTTTTTACATCACACTATTCCGAAAACGATCTTCAGGGGTTAACTGTTAATGTATTTTTCCCAGTATTGGTGGCAGCTCGTTTTCATAATGCTGATCACATGAGGTTTGTTCACTAGAGCTGAATAGCTACTTCATTTTCCATTTGAACCTATATATATATGGTTTCAAATAAACCCCACCACAGTGTGTTGTTTCATATTAAGAAACCCTTCTAATCGTTTTTGCCTATGATGAAAAGTTTGATATGATAAATATTTTATTGTAAGATGAGTTGTTTTACATTATCAAATACTTTTACTTCTAAAATTCATAGAAATTATCCTTCTTGTAGAATCTTTGTCTATCTATCACACTTAGTGTAATTAAGTTAAATGGTCAAATCTTCAGAAAATTTTCACTTAAAAAGTTACAATTCCAAACAGTAATTTAAATAAATGATGTTACCTATAGTATTATTCTATGAACCGTTAACATTTACCTCCCAGTTTGTATTACATAAGATATTTCTGACATATATTATTTTTTTAGTTAACTTGTGTCTACTTTTTATCGTATACTGTGAATAAAACACAAAGTTCCAAACGTTTGAAAATAGAAACTTATCTAATACATTTTCCCTACAATATGACAACAACTCTAACCAAGTTTCACTTCCTATTTATGGTAAATAGATATTTATGCCACCACTCATTACAAGTAAATTACTGTCATCCTAAAACTGGTTGATTTGAAAACGTTTTTGAGATTTGTTATTTACCAGAGCTTCTCTCCTGAATTTAATCCAATAATGTCGCACAACCTATAAAATCAAATAAAAATTCATGACTAATTGTGTTGAATCCTAGGTGTGTTTCTAATAAGGGACTTAAGTCAGCATAAAAACTATTGACTATTGAAGGACATTAAATTTTTATTACAAATTGTCTAAGTTTAACAGTGTAGTCCATTAAATGCTGATTAATAGTTTAAGTCTAACGTGATCCTCGACTTCGGAATTCTGGATTCTGTCCCTGGCCAGGTCATAAGTTCGCACGTCATACCGTAATGTTAAGTAACTCCACATTAAAAATCACCATTTACAATCTCAAAAATATTGTATTTTCTCGAAATACACGATTATGTTTTATTTTTAACGAAATTTATAACTTGAAGATAGTTGACATCTCATTGATATCATATTGCGAATCATTGAAAACCTGGAAAATTCTGAACAGCTATTTCATTCAGTTGTAAAAACTTTTTATCCCTTATCTTAAATCAAACTCCATCATCTCGAAGCCTCAGGGTGGACACGATACGGTAAACCATTTAGTTGTGATCCAATAATCTAGAATTAAAATTTCAGATTTTTTCCAACTAAAACTGTTTGATTAATCAGTTGCTAAAGTCCACTGTTCATAACTTCTGACTAACAATTCACACAAGTAGGTCTGTTATTCGTTGGCCAATAGAAATTATTCAATTAAGTAACTTCTGCTGAAAAACTCGTTTTTTGGTTTATTTAACTTAGCTAAATATAAGTGGAAATACTTGTGAATAAATTTTTAAAGCCAACTGGTGAGTTGAATAATTTTTAGCTTTATTTTCCTTGAACTACTCAAAAATTGAGATTTCGTTTCTTTTCTGACTCATAATTATCGTCTTTTCATTGTTTATTCTAATTGATAATACCTAATATGTGACTTAGATTGTCACAAGCATGAACCAAAACGATTTTAATTATACACTTATGAGTTAGTGGAATTTCTTGATTGCCAAGGGGAAACATCTATTACATTTCATTCCTATCCCTCTCTTGTCTGTTTTATTTTCTTTAGTCAAATGGTAATATTACCAAGATATTTAAAAATAGTGAAAAAATGTGTATTTAGTATTTATTTCAACAAGTTAGCAGCATCCCACCTTGTCTATATTTTTCTACCAGTTTGTCTGTACAGTTTTATCTCCGTTGTATAAAATAGACCAAAATAAGTCTAAGTTATAGTTTCACATCACAGGCTGGTTTTGTTTAAATAACCATTTCAAAAAGTGGGAAACATATCGATCAGCTGTTTCATCTACCAGCAAACGAACGAAAAATCTTCAAGCTTCATAACGAACTGTCAATTTTCAAATCATTAAGTTGACTTTCTACGGTTTATATTTACTGAATTGAATAAAGTTAGAAATTTTTGTAATATGTAAAATTCATGATTGTTTCCTTTTTCTCTTAACTCAGTTTATTACAAGTAATACTGCAAATATCATCATATTCATAAATTGTTCTGTATGTAGAATTCTAAAAGGAATTGTTTATTTCATTAACTAGAATATTGTAAACAAAATCTACATTGAAAACTATATCCTATTATGGCTCCATATAAAAAAAATATAACTGTGCTTTATGTTTATTTTATATTTCATTCTGCATATGATCATTATACGATCTTAAAAACGCAGATTTATTCATATTATTAGTATTACTATAAACATTTTCAATAGTGTAATACTTGATAGGTTTATGTACTTGTTATGCACTGACAAGAGTTAACAAGTCAGATAAATATATTTAACTAAATAAATCTAAGGAAAAAATTCCCATCATGTTATTTAGTACTTAACCCCATCTACGATTTCTTATCTGATTCACGTTATCCGATATATTACATAATCCTTGACCAAATGTTTATTTTGATTTGTAATTATATTACTATCTCTTGCATTCCTGTGTTACCCATATTTATTCTGATCATTAATCTTACAATTTCATTTATCATATAAACCTATTCATATTTTCAAGGTTTAAATCACAAGGTGATTTGAGCTAGACCGTCGTTAAAAACCTGGAAACACTAGACAGTCGTTTCGTCCTAGTATGTAACTTCTCAGCAGCGCTCACTAACAATCTTATTTAATTTTGCAAACAACCCTGAATTCACATGGTATGATTTTCAATGATATATTTACCTTAAACCTGACCACTTGTTGTATTATTAACATAACTATAGGACCTGAAAAGAAGCGATTGGAAAGAACATTCGTTCATATATCTGTGTTTCGAATGGATCTACTTTTTCGATCGATTTCTCTTTGTCACACACACCAATACTAATAAAAGTTACATCATGTTGTAGAAATTTTTTAAAGTCGGTTTTCATTAAGAACTATTGAACATCACTCGATAATTAGACAGTCTTTTCCCCTATTGAGGAAATCCAAGCTGAGACTAAACAAAGCAGTTCAGTGCCTACCATTTTTCGAAATAGTCCCCCAACTGACTTAACAATAAAAAATATTTTACAAATTATAGATTTAATCGTTAGTTTACTTTTCAAGCACAAATGAAAATTGTATTTGCAATAAACCTCAAAGATTCACATCATCAACATTTCAGTTTACACTAGATTCTATCTATGTAACTTAGAAGTAGCTGACTTATCTTTGAGTTATTCTATTTCCTGTAAATGAGCTAGCGTTAATATTTTTCTGGGTATACTAAATTGGATAATGCAACGCGGTTCTAACGTTCAATCGAATAATAGAAGGTTGATTAACCAGTAAACATGGTTTGATGAATCTTGAGTCGAAATGTCTTATAGATGTTTTTAAGCAGAGATGGATGGTGACAAACAGTGAAATCCAGGACGCACGTTTCTTCCTACATGGGACTCGTCATCTGTATGAGCTTAAATGCTAGTACATATAAAATCGTACAAACAACTTACGTTTCACAAGTACTCATATATATCGGAGATCCGTAATTCGGTTTGTTTTAGTGGTTAGGTTTCAAACAACCACTTTATTTTTTTCTATAGAAAGTAATGACCAATTGACTATTTTGAATGAACATTAAAGTTATTCGGTGTGATATCACTGCAGATTACTTGATCTATTCCGCCAATTCTCAGTAAATTCCCTAAAAAAATATACAGTTTCAGCAATATGAAGGTTGTAGAGATTGATGAATTCTGTTAAATTCATGAATCAATACAATTTCATATTAATAATTATCATGTGTTCACTGGTGACCGATTTCATAAGGAAATTATCGGAGTCCTATTTATAAGCTGTCATTAGTAAAGCTCAACGGTGTCGGGTGTAAGTAAAGTACTCACTAAAGACAATCGAAGATGGTTGCACAATATCGCGAATTGATTGAAATTATACTTGTATACCATCGAATAGGGCCTCAGTGGTCTAGATGCTTAGCGTTCGTTCACGAGACTGAAACTCTCGTCTTCGATCCTTCCTAGTGGAGTTGTGGATGCGCGCTTCTGAGGAGTGTCATATTAAGATGTAACAGCTGTTCAAAACTTCCAGGTTTCTAATAATTGTCTAATGCAGATTGGTCGATCATCTCAACAAAATGCAGTTTTGCTAAATGGATTTGATAATAACGCTTAGTCATCACTGAACATTTTCCGGTAACGTTTATCCAGTGTGAGTTTAGAACAGTTTTCCCACCAGTATCTTTTGTATTTGTCTTTTTTTATGTTTAACGAATAATCCTCTCCGTCTTGTTTTTTTTCCATTTCCTATAGAGTCATGACATCAAGTCGTAATCAGTTGTCGGTCGTTCATGAAGATGAGGATGAGGATGAGGAAACTATTAAAGAATCACTTATGAACAGTCTTCCCGATATATTTATGAATAAACACTTCTTTATTCATAACAAATCAATTCCTGATGACGAAGAATCTTTAATTAAACGATTAATTGTTGCGTTTGCTGGGTAAGTGCTTTTAGAATATATATATATATATATATATATATATATATATATATATTACTTTTTCCAACTCACGTTATATAGTCATGAGTACTTCGTATCAAATGATGCTCCTTTGATGTGTAATCTTAATTTTTCAGTTCAATTGAAATATTAATATTCATCAAATGTAACTGTATAAAGTTCCTCCATTCAATAGTTTTTACCATTAGATTGTGTTTATGAATAATGGTTTATTGACTGAGGTATGTGAATACCCTGGCGCTAATTGTGATATAATATGCTTTATATATATTAATATATCAATGTATCAACGATTAGCCGGTTACAAATTAACCCTTATTATTATCACGTCCTTATATAAAGGGTTTGACCGTAGTGTATAAGCTAACTTCCATCTGATTTAATGCAACTTCTGTCAGCCGGGTCAGACTCTGTGTACTATGTGTGAAACCTTACTCCTGTCGTGTAAAAGCCCAGGTTAATCCATGATTGACAATAATGACCACTACTTAGTGATTTAATTAGGATTAAAGGATCGGACAAATGTTATGACATTGGTCACTACTCACTGGTCAAGCAATATCACTAAGCCTCCTATAAAAAGTATAACTCAAAGCCCATTGTACAGATGTTCACGTAGATAAAATTGTATTACTTTTACATCGTTGCCATAGATTTCTTTTTACTGTATCATTAGGTTGTTTAAAAGCAAATGGAGCGATTTATCTAAAATTATTTCTACACCTAAATAAGATACCAAGAAACTAAAGACCATAGAATTTAGTATATTGATGTTTCATACTTGTAGCTTGAGTGGTGTCGAAAGCATCCGACATCAAACTGATACATAATGATACACTTTATCTTTTAAGTATCTGCATAACTTTTTGCACGACTGTTAATCTCCGTTCCGTTTCTGATTCGGTGATGTAATTATTTTTACAAAGTGTTCTACTCATCATCTGATTTCATTATAATCACATTACATAAATATTTATGTCTACTGTCTGCAATGTTACCTGGAATAGAAAGATGAGTAAAGGTATAACGTACTAATAGCCGTGAACTAACCGATCGAAATTAAGGTAACCCTTCATGTCTTTTACGCAATGTTTGAATTATAGTGATAGATAACTTGTTATTATTAACTAAATAAAAATCGATAATAATTGATTTTTAAAATGCTCGAAATCAATAATATCCAATCAGATATGAATTTAAGATGGTGCTTCAGCTAAATGACAAAGCATACCTGTTCTTAAGGGAGATTATGGGTTAAAGTGCTTAGTGTGATTCAATGCATAGTCAAAAGTGTTTAGTGAACCTAGATAATATTCTCCCTTTTTAACTCTCTCCAAATCTCGACCCTAAGTTTCTTAAATTTGTAAACAGAAGGATAGCAAAGCATTGCTTTATAACTGATGTCAGTTGGTAACGAAAACCTCAACCCTAATCTCTAAGTCCAACTAAAAACTCCAGCCTTATTCTTAATGCCTAACCCTAACCTAATTACATTACAACCAATGTCATGTGGTGACATAAACTCCATTAGGTGGTAAGCCTACCTCAGAATACCAGCGCTACTCATAATATGAATGTATTTATGTAAACTTGACCTTTTTCACTTACTGTAAAGAATAATTTATCTAAGTCAAGCTGTCATTCCACTGTTTTTTTATTGTTAATTATCTTATAAAGGTGTAGCGCTTCCTGATTGTCTGGTTAGCCTTTCAGGGTCGCCAGTGCATTATACCTTTACCAAATGATGACTACCAAAGAACTCATCTTTTTTCTTGCTCAGACTTAAATATTTTATAACATTTGTTTTACAGTTCATAAGCAAAACTTACTGTGCTATTTTTTTAAATAACGGAACTAGTCTAGTAGTGAAATCATTAAAAAAAATTATTTCTCATCACCGTTCTCTTCCTATTCTGAATCGAAATTATTTGTGATATTAATCTAATTAATCATTTTTTCTTAAATTTTGCTCTTAGTACTTATGTATTAAGCTGTAAGAATTCCATGACATAGGTTTCATACCAGTTCGTACTTAACATTAGCGGTGTCTAACAATAATTTTTATGTAACCGATATATCTTCAAATCTTAATCATTCAATCAATTAGTGATAGATTTTGTTCTATTTATTTATTTAAACACATAAACATTGGTACAAGAGGGCACCAAATATGCACCACAATTCGTCATTTGGTTTGTATGAGGGATGGAATACTGCCCGTGTGCCCAGACCAAAGCAGGTCGTTTTCTTGGGGGCCACTCCTCGAGTCTTTGGCCTAGAGGTCCACAAGGCAGTGGCGCAACGTTAGGAGATGCAGTCTCATTGTAGTCGGTAACCAAGAATTGGTTTATACACCATTTGTTCTCCCAGGGACCTGGAGCTCATGTACACCACTGGTTTGGAATGAGGGTTTTCCAACTCACCTACGTGGATTCTCCATATTCACCAACTCGGTTTTCACGCCAAACATTCTCTTTTCGTTCTCTGAATTTCTTAACAAAACCCCTTCCCTGAGAAGGCAGTGAGCAGGGATTCTCTGACGATTGCTATATACGCGTGGCCATTTGAGAGCATTTCGAGAGGTGAGCTGGAGTCTCCCCACCCTCAACCGTACCAGGGCAGTTGGAGCCCTTAGATCTTGACATTGAGTTATTCAATTCACAACTGAGTTTCTGCGTGACAGATTCTTTATTTATGTCAGTAGTTAACTATTAACCTATACATTTTCCTTCAGTTTTATTCGTTATACACAAATATGTTTTAGTCTTAGAAGTTTTATGGAGCTATGTTTAATTTGTAGTTTATGTTAGCCTTAGAATAATCTTACTGAAAACTTGTGAGTACTGGATATCTAATTGATCCTAGTATAGGACTCAGTAGTGTGCATCCCAAGACCTTACTAGGGATCAAACCAGTAACATTCAGTTATGTCAAAGAACTCTTTATCATTATAACTACTTCGATGACTTCTAATAATTTAGTTTACTTTATTTTGTACAATTACCTGTAGTCTCTCAGTAAAGGTCCATAAATATATATTCAAAGTATAATAAATCCTCATCATGAACTGTTTTATTTTCTTAATCAATAAATTTCTTGAATGTTTTCTCCAAACATTCTATAAATTAGTTTTTTTTTCTAAAAAAGAACCACGCCTTTTGTTTATATTATTTCCTTGTATTCACTGAATAGTTTACAAGTATATTTAATCTGATATGAGAATTACATTTCAGTTAGTGTTCTTATTAGTACTAGTATTATTACTATCCTTATTATCAGTGTTATTATTGTTAACCGCCTCTTATCTCATTCACTATCTATCACATAACATCTATTGTCCTCTCTTGTTTCCAAAAAAATAAATAAATAAAATAACAACAAATGAATGAATCATCATTCAGTATTCTTTAGTCAATATTATATACCAGATGCATATTTGGGATGTGTTTTTACTCTATTTATCCTTTTATGTTGGTGGTTGTATTCATCTACTGTTTACTCTTCCTTTCAATGTTTCTTCGTTGTTGTTGTTGTTGTTGGTAATTATTTCATATCAACTAACCAATGTGTGTTCATTCTATTATAATCTGCCAAAATTTAGATTTGGGTTAAAGTTTGTGATGTAAAAGAGCGTTAATATTTACATGAGTTTTTTTTATACATTATATTTCTGTAAATAAATTTGAAAATGTTAGTAATTATAAACAATATTCTATGTGACAGAAAATTAAACTACTTGCAAGAAACCATAGAACCTCAGTATTCAAACTACAACTTGTATGTCAAAAATGTAAGATTATCTACTTACGAGGAGTGTTCATTGTTTTTGATAGTATTGAGTTTTCTAAGCTTAATGCTTTAATTCAGGAGCTTTCATTGTCATTCTGGACAATATCTTCAGCTCCTGAATTTATGTAGATGTAAGCTTTTTAGCTATTCTATAAGTGTTGTATCAGTTCATTTTTATGGTCTTGCCTGTTATTGGCTATATTTGTCGGTTTTGTCTTCTTCATTTGCCTTTGAATTCACGTTAACTGTATTTGTTGTTAACCCTTTGGTTTTGTGACTGACTGATTGATCTCTTTCGCAAAGCTTCATAAACTAATTGCCAATTATTCTGAACGCTATGCTTCTAATAATTCTTAGACATTCTTGGAGTTTCCGCAACCCAAATTTTTGACTTTTCCGGATCGAATTCCTGTCAGTGGTTACCTGCGTGCATTGTTACCAGTAATTGTATAATCATTCCACATCATTGCTAGTGCTTGTCCATTTATGTGTGGGTGAAGGAAGCGCCCTTTTTTCCCATATGATGTTTCTCGCAACTCGTGCAATTTATTTTGTAACTTATGTTCCTTTACTGATATGTCATTTGATTCGCACAGGATGGAATAAATGTTTATTGTCCCCCAGTTGATTATTGGCTCATGACTGTAAAAAATAGTAATTGTTTGATTCCATGGATTGATCTTCACTTTTCTAATTTAAATTAGATATTAAGCCTTTGAAATTATCATATATCCAAGTAGTAATATAATGATAAACGGTAGACCATCATTGAAAACCTGGAAGCACTGGAAGTCTACCTCGTCCTGATGTGGGACTCCTCAGCAGTGCTCATCCACGACTCTGCACGAGGGAATCGTACCCTGGACCTTTGGTCTCTCGCACGAACACCTAATCTCTAGACCATCGAGCAGGCATCTAACGGTTTTAATGTCTAATTTCAATTAATCCATATTATTGCGTTTTCGGTAGGTAAATCCCTCGCATCCTACACAGTCGAAATCCACTGTTAACGGCTTCTCACTAGAACTCCGAGATTTACCTCTCAAAACTATTCACTAGTGAGAACACAATTTTCAGTATACGGTTGTGAATGTTTGACATTAACACCATTGGATCCCGGTTCAGTTGTCTGAAGGTTAAGTGTTCGCGGCTGAGACCGAAGGTCCAGTGTTCGATTCCCACATGCAGGG